ATAACCTTGTATCCCTAAAGTGCATGCAGACACACTTTGCCGCGTTGACAGGCACTAGCCACTCTTTAAATAAATGGTTCGAATGGTTGTGGACGGAATAGAAGAAGCTTTCGCCTAACAGGCTTTCCGGTCTAGTAGCAAGGGATCACCAAATCCTCCAGACAGGAACCTAGGTATGTTAACAATAGAAGAGGAAGAGAAGTTAGTAAATCATAGTGTGATACAATCCTTAGTCCTTAAGCATAGATCAAGTTGCCTCCTGGGAAGTCGCTTGGCAGCGAATTCCAGTAGTTGACAACTCTTAAGAAGTAGAAGTTGTGTCTTCAATCCGTTCTGCTATGTTATGCCTCCAGTTTCTGGGTGTTACCTCTTAGGTTGGTGTTGGAACCAAGCTTAAGTGAGTGTTTGAGAGGATATCCAGAAGTGTTAAGCATACTATAAGCCATCAGAAGGTCACCTCTAAGACGTCTTTACTCTAATGGGTAAAGGTTAAGTGAATGGAGGCGCTCTTTGTAAGGTTGAAACTTGATTCCTCAAACTGATTTCGTGGCTCGCCATTGGATACGCTCCACAGTGTCCTTATCCTTTTGGAGTGAAGGGGGAAATACATTGTTTCCGTACTCTAAATGGGGACGGATAAAACTATTGAAGATTATATGGAAAGTTCTTCCGTCAAACTGGCCAAAAGTGCGCTTCAATGTTACCAGTGCAAGGTTTGCTCGGAAGGCATTTTTGTCACAGTTAGCGTAAGACTTTAAATCGTAGGGCACCAGGACTCCTAAATTTTTTTTTCGACTTAGACCAATCAATCATATTATTTCAGTCTGCCTGATGTGTGCATATACCTACGTCTCCCATTATTACTTACCAGATTTTTACATTGTCAGAGTACAATAACAGGAGGGACTGTACTAAACTTAGGAGATCACTTACATACAGTATAAAAGCAAAAGACCTAAGACAGAACCTTGAGGTACTCCACTAAGTGTTGATCTCCACGTGGAGCACTTGGAATCTACTCTTACTTGCTTTCCTCGACCCACTGGGTGATTCTTAAGCCATTTTAAAAGAAGTCAGCCAATACCAAGATTTTCTAACTTTAATAGGATTCTATTTATTGGCACCTTGTAAAGTGTCTTATTGAAGTCTATGTAGACAACATTTACTGAGTTTCTGTTTTCTAGCGCCTTTATCCAATACTCCCTTGCTATAAGGAAGTTTGTTGTGCAAGATAAACTTTTTCTGAAACCATGTTGTTCTCTGTTTAGCAAGTTATTGCTTTCCTCAAATTTCATCATGGTCTTTTTGATTATTCTCTCCTATATTTTAACTAAAACGTTGGTGAGTCGATAATTATATACGAGGATTTCGATAGCAGACATTCATACTATCCTATTAGAGTCAGATATAAGGACACTAAAATATTACCAAATGTTTCACTGCCAATTTTCATCGACTTCTTTGGTTATTATATAGAAACTGATTCTATGTGATAACTGAGATATCAACTCGCCTCTTCATTTTTTTCTCTCTCAGTTCCTCACAAATACATAGCTTATCAAAATATCTATAGCAAGTAATTTACCTCCAAACTAGGGAAGAATGAAAGGTAAATGGTCATACTATTCCTTGTTTAGATGGGTTGATGAATTATTTATACAGTAGTTAGTTCTAACAAGTGATCACCTGGTGGGATATCTATATTTCACAGGAACTCTGTCTGCTCGTGGATTTTTCGAACTAATCTATCATGTCGCCCAAGATTTTTTGACTTATTTACGGGGGAAAATGACAAATATATGCCGAACTTTAATTTTTAAGTAGCCCGTATTATAATTAGTTTAGCTCTTATTCTTACTTAAGGTAACAAAAATTTTAACTGTATAGGTTTTTTCATTGTTATCTGAGGAAACTTCCAATGGACGAAATTACCGGCCCGCTTTGTCTGCTCATAAAATGTCGAAAGTTTATATGGACAGTACGAGGAATAACAGAATGAGATTCAGGGTGACTTTTATTTTATCTTGGAGATTGGACTATACCTACTGGATTTGATTGCAAGGTCACTCTGACCACACCACAATCTTGTAGTAGGACTGTAAGGAAGTAATTGGCGTTAGTTTCCATTGTTATTGTCTAAACCAAAATAACAATATGATCCATTGTCTTTTCATACGGCTTTCTGGTAAACACCTAGGTGCTTTGAAGAAATGAAGAAGAAATCACCGCTGTGTGTATGTGGAGACAATGCTACATAGACATGATTTTTTTTGGTTCGGTTGTTTTCCGTCGCTGTTAGTTTGCCGGTTAACAGTTGGATGGTAAAAGTTTACTATACGACCGACCGTGGGTGACTTATCAGCAAATCAGGCGACACAAGTTATATAACAATTAATGAATAAAGCAATAAAGCAACGGTGGAATAGTAGCTTCAATATGAATAATTGACTCTCACATGGTGAAGTATTCCTTACAGTAACGGAAGACTGTTAGTTTTACATATCAGGAGTCGGGCTAATGTTTTTAAACGTATATAACTTGTGCTACCAACTGACATTAACTATTATTCGAAAATTTCAGGAATAAGTATTAGAAGTTAGGCTAGAATTTACAAATTAGGGTTAGGATTCTCATCACAAACTGAGTTAATCTATAGTTGATTGCCTTGTCACCCAATTGCAGGCAAACTGGAGGAACCTAAAGTTAGTGTGAGAATACTATCTAGATACAGTAAACAATTTTGAGTATGCACTGAATCACATTGAGTACTTATACACAACGTGCATTGGGGGCAGGTATTTGTGGTAATGTATCTTAAGCAGCATCTTATATTCACCCTTCCTTTGCATGCTATATATTTTTAAAAATCAGTTTTTAAGCGCTTTTAACAAAATGCTGTCTGTTCTCACCTAGTTCTAAATAACATACAAGTTATTTGTTATCGCGCTTAATTCTCGCACAATACACGAGCCGCTATTATAGCTCTAATTGATCCACTTGAAGCCATAAGTATTGTACACTTTTACCGGTGGTATATGCAAGGTATTAGTGAAATGGGTTTTGTTCTATGCTTGTGAAATTCAACCCCTTCCGACCTAAGGAGGTTTAACGCCTGTGTTCGATCATCTTTGTCTCCATATCACTCGTTTATTTTATAAATGGTACAAGAAAGTACAAAATATATATGCGACACATTTCATTCGATTTGTGTGAGGGCTGAAATACTTCCTTGGCGCCCAAACAATTGCAGGTAGTTTTCTTAGGGAGCCATATGCAAAGCCTTTGATCGAGAGTTCTAATCCATGAGGCAGTAGAGAAACGTTAAGAAGTGCAGTCTCATGGTAGTCGGTGACTAACAGTTGGTCCATACGCCATTTGTTCCTTTAGGGTCCTGGAGACCATGTGCACCATTCGCTTGAAATCAAGGTTTTCCAACTCCTCTAGGTGAACGCTCCGTGTCCACCAACATCTAGTGGGAATATCGTGTTAGCAATACCAAGACCCAGTAATCCATATTCGGGAACAGTGGTAGTAATTCAATCAGTGTCAATCTATAAACACCGGTTTGGACGGATTTTTAATGCCCCCATTGTAGCGAAAGTTTTGCGTCGTAAAACATCATACTCAAAAACATTGTCTCATCAAAATTGAGGCTAGGGTGTGTGTTTGCTGAATTTACTACATCACGTTGACACAATGGAATACCAATAGTCAAAATAACATTGGTAGACATGCTAGTAGGAAATAATAAACATTAAGAATATCTTTCGAAAAGAAGGAATACAAAGATATGTATGAAGATCTAGCGAAAGGTGAATTCATTTGTGCCATTGACACGGATTTTCAGCCACGTACTACACTTAGAGATGAACATAACCTTTTATATATCACACTTTTCTTCAGCTTCAGTTAACAATTGAAGCTAATGTTAGTATCCTGCTAAAGCTTTACGGGGCTAGTATCACTTATTTTATCACTAAATGGTAATTAGTGTAGCAGTGCACTTCAGTTTACTTTAAATTACTGACGTACCTATTTGGTTGCTTGACAAATCACTACCTTTCTCACTTCTACTCCATGAACTCTAAATGACTGAACAAAAGAACAACTCAATGAGGTTTTACTCATTGTCAACTCGATGTTTCTATAAATCAGTATATAGACTCTTAATTAGCTCTCGTGCAGTCGGCTTACAACCGTTGCGTCATTTTGCTTGTATTTGTTTTCTATTCAAATGGTAATATTTTAGTTGTACTCTTATTACCTATATTTCCATTAGTTAGTTTGAATACTGCTCCTGTTTCAATAAATTTACGAACGATGTCTTCTCAAACGCAATCTGGAGAAAATGTAGGAGAATGTAAAAAAGTGGATTTGACCACAGTAAGTATATAATCCGTAGATGGGAAAAATAACTAATGTTTTTTTTGTTTCGGTGATAGAAACTTCTACCTACTGTCGCTCGGGCTGTTAAACTATCTCAAGAACTTCCCGTATCAAACACCTGCTTATATTTACTACAATGACTTTCCTCAGTATAAGGCTATAGCAGCTGGACAATCTAAAAAGATTCTTTCGATGTAATAATAATTATCACTATTATTTTCTCATCATTTTTTTTACGTTCATTTAGCCTACAAAATATTCTCGATGTTTTAGATGCGAAAGCTAACATTTTAGATGTTCCAGTGACTAAAAGTATGCACGAGAAATTCACCTCTATTATTGATGCTAACGATCGGATATTGGAAAAATTGGTAATTTTTAATTTACGAAAGTTAACCAGTCATTTTTACATATATATTAATAGGCGATGGCCATGGATTTTGAAGAAGATCCTCAGCGTAAAGCATTCTTTCTTAAAACAAGGTCTGAAGACCTGGTGGTTGCCGTTCATCGAAAAAACACAACATCTCTTGAATGGTTAAAAACGAAAAATGTATGTTCAATGCATTTCATCATTCTCACATTATGATTATTATTTTAGTCAAATGAAGAACTAATGAGGGAGTTGATTTTTCGGAAAATTCACTAAAACTTTTATCCTCAAAACATATTGTCAGACCACAAACATCTTTTTCCACTCCACCAGACAATTCATACTCATCGTTTCGACCGAAAATAAAATCAAAACCAAATTGTATTCAACCACTTCCTGGTAATTTCTATTAATTTAACGTTTGTTCTAAATTAACCTTTACTAAGAATTATTATCCAACAGTAATGGAGAGTTGACGGAGTAAGTGTGTATACCTTATTTATAAAAACTGTAATTCCTTGTTTTCCAAGTTATCCTCATCCATACAAAGCAGAATTAGAAGCGTTTGCCAATAGTCTACCTAATTTGAATGAAATGATGTCGGAAGATTTTCCAGTGAAACCTTTGGATTCATCATATCAGTATGTTGACACACCAGATACTCTTGAACAAATGATGAAATCCCTTTCCATGTGTAAATATATTGCTGTTGACTTGGAAGTAAGTGTACTTTTTTTTAAATTTCCCGTTCACATTTTTGCATAACATTTGGATTCAGGCGGTTTTTACTCCGTCAATATATTTCGTCCATTACATTTGAAATTAATTGCTGTGCTTTTCTTGTCATGTTGTTAGTTTCCTCTTATACTGTTCTAATATGAAGTTTAGCTATGTAAACCATTGACGCTATTTAGCTTATATGTGCATCACGATCAGAGACCAATATTTTTAACGTTTTACTTTGTCCTGTAGCTTTGTATAACAAATGTTCTGAAATATATTTCCACTCTGAGTTATCGCCACTGTTTTGACTTAAGAAAGTTTCAGTTTGTTGTCTACAACGGCTTGTTCTTTTCTTGTTTCAAGCTTAAAATAGACGTTCGGAAAACATATATATCACTAGTTGTTTAAGTTCGGAGAGTTAATGCCATCTTTGTTGATTTAAATAAAGGAGCTTACTACTTATGAGCACTTAGCCAATGGGTTACGAGATATAACGATAAAGTACAAGGACTAATATGGCAACTGTATTGTGTTCGATACTATTAGATTACATGGATATACAGAAACATACTGTATCACGTTTTACTTAGATACATGATTCACGACTAAAGAAAGGGAACCAGATTATAGGTTAGACAAACGTTTACTTAACTCACCTGCTAACAGTCTCCAAACAGTGTATAGTCACATTAAAATCAGAGCATGAAGGAGTATTTTACACATAATAGTAACATGTACAATAGTCTACATAGGGTAGTCTGTTTTTCTTCACTCACAGTCCAATCACAGCTCATTATCACACGAAATATCAGTTGACAGTAAAGCACTGCTACCTAGGCCGAAGTATCTCAAAATCAATGAACGATCTCTCAAAACTCCGAACTTATGTCATCCAAAGCAACTTTCAAATATATTGGCCTTTATCCTTGAATTAATACTGAGATTATAGGTATCGATGTCAAGGTTGACCCAGGACAGAGTGGGTTAGAGAATGCCGATCGGCGGCCGATGTTCTATTGGGAGTAACAGGCGTAAGCATGAGCAAGCAATGCCAAGGTTGGACTTGATATTTTCAATAAATTGAGCATTGGAATATAACAAAAAGTATATTTATTATTGGGATTAAGGTGTTAGAATTTTTGTTTAAATTGTCTTAGTTTTGATTTTTCACAGAAGTGTTTTGATACAAGTCCAATACACATTAATATGAGTTAGTTGTGTTGAACTAAACGCAAAATAGAAATTTTTTTATCGTTCATTAAAGCTTAATAAATGGATAATCCATTCATAAATTAATTGGTGAATATTCATCGAAAATTTTGAACAATTAAGAATTTTTGAATTGCTATAGTGTGATTATAAAAATTTCATAAATTAAGAGAACGACTACTGCTGAATTCCTCAAATTAATTTATAACCCCCATTTGGTTTTAGTTATTAGGTGGACACTCTCAAAGTCAGTCTAGCGTCGCTCAAAGGTCGTCCATAAATTATAGTCTTGCCCTGATGATTACTTATTCTTGTAAATTTAGTGTTTTCGGTTTTACTACTTAGTCTTACTAAGTAGTGTAAAGTGTAGTACGAAAGGATTCAGAACTAAGCAGGATTAAGTTCTGACTTGGAATCTAGTCAATCGTTGTTCGGTTGTACCGAGATTGTAAATAATTTGACCATATTCAGAAATTGACATAACATACCGTTTTTGCTCCTCATTTTCGTGAACATAAATTTACTTTACTGTTGGTGATAACTATCTCCATAAGTCTATGAATATTGCAACTTGAAATACGTTTTCTAGTCTTTGTAGTTTCAATTCTCTCTGTAGTCATGACTCAACGTAGGGTCTATGTGGTAATTACCATGTATTAGTCGAACGTCTCTCAAGTTTTTCAGGACTTTATCCGGTATAGCTACACTGTATCTCCGGATGATCCGATTTAAACAACTGGGAGACAGTAAAGGTAATGAATGATTTGTTGTACTAGGAATTAGGATTAGAATCTTAAGATTCTTGAATAGCTGTGCTCTTGATACAACGCACGTTCACCATTGATTCAGCGGTATAGAACAGCTTTTTTATTCCTCCTACATATCTTTTTGTAAATTCCCACCACTTTAGCATCATAGCTATCGAAGCTTCTTGGGCATTACATGTCTAATACAAATGAGTACATTGGATACTGATTACATTATCGATGCATTGGCTTTACGTGATCATTTATCAATATTGAATGAAGTATTCACTGACCCGAAAATTGTTAAGGTAAGAGAATTATACTTTTTTATTACTAACACGTAAATTTAATTATTTGTATCTGTGCATTTAGCTGGTAAATTCCAAATTAGACTAAGCGTTTGGGACTCTACTTTTAGTTAATATTCGACTTAAGAAAAGACAAACTATGCTAAGAACTGTTGTTTTATTACATTTTTTCGTAATTCCCTTATATTTTCCAACAAATTTAAACTGAACTGAGTAGAAGTACAACATAGGACCAAATTAAAACAACCGTGACGAATTTCCAGCTAGTTTCTGGCCAATAAGAAAACACCCTGTGTAAATGGATAGTTTATGGAACGGAAAACAATAACATTGAAAACTGTAAATAGTTTTAAATAATTAGGGGATTTGTTGACGTCTTCTACAGGTTATTCTTCTTGTCAATCCAAAAAACAATGACATACAAATTCATCTTTACAGACATATATTATTCATATTCTCATGGACCTAAAGATTTTTGGGAGTCTTCACATTGTTAATAGTTAGGGTTAGTACTAGAAACTTTAGGTTTAAATTTTTCGTCATGAACTGATACAGCTCTAATGCAAAGTGCTCTGTATTCGTATGGATGAGTGCTGCGCGAACATCCGACAGTCTCTGTCTGGTTAATCTATCTATAAAATAGAGTACGAACGGGCTAAAGTTTGTTTAACAATTAAGGGCCTAGGGTTCAGAGTAAGAGTCGATTTGCCTGTTATATACAATATAGAAATAGAATTGAACGTTTCATAAGCTTAATGCTATCACTTTAAGAGTTTTGAGCTCCATACACAGGAAGTCTTATTGCATATCACACATTACATTTTAATTTCACACAGAAACCTAACCATCGAATTCTCGGCACTGATTGGCTCTTTCTAAAGTATAGTTTTACCCTAAACTCCAGGCTGATTATTATTACATATGCAAGCACTCAAACTTTATATAATAAATGAAATTCTCTGTTAATATCGTAACAGAATTTAATTTTATTCAAATTAAGTGAAGATTTTGAATAAGGGATTGTGACTCATCTTTGAGAAGTGCAAATGTCTGAAGGTCATGCACTTTTACCTCCATTGGCTGGTTTTCCTGAGAATTTTGATCTAATCATTACATTTTGACCGTTCATATTTCTTTGTGTATTTATGTATCAATGAAAGAGATTTTTGTCTACATTAGTATAAATAAACTACAATTGGCGTATGGAGTTTAATTACCTAGACGGTGTACAAATAATGTTAAAATAGAGTGATATGACATATCTCAATGATGGAATACTATATACAATCGTATATGCTACCAAATGGTTTATTGCTTCGAATATTTTCATTATTTCCCTATTTAAATCAGTTCACTCAGATGTGAATCTCAAATAAATGCATGGTCAAATTTTAATAGAAGAAAAAGCGTGGATTTGAATTGGGACAGTAAGAGAATATGATATTTGAGCACATTCAATAAATATACTCTAAACTAGGTTGGCAAATCCAGTATGCTAGTAATTCCCATTGCTTCAAAGATTCCATCCATAAATAAGAATGGTCAAGTTAATAATCTCTGTTTCTCTAGAAATTTCGTGATTTTTCGTTCTTTATTGTAAACATTAGGTTTGATAGCTCTAGTCACTAGCAGTGATATCTGCTAGCACGGTAAACCACAAGGTTAGAGAGAAACACTGGATCTCATCAGTATCTACCGCACTGATAGATGCTCGAAAACTCATTCCATCTGGCTCTGAACATAACGAAGAGTGGAGTCAACTTAAGCGCAAGCTGACAAGAAGCCTACGCAATGATCGTGAACAGTGGTCGGTAGCGAAAGGCAGCGGTAATAGGTAACAGCAGACAACTGTTCAGACTTGTTAAGGAAACCGACTTTTAGCGAAACACTCACAGAGAAAGATGGACATATTATACATTCTCAATCCAGGAGATTGGATCGATGGGCAGAACACTTTAGGGACCAGTTCAGCTGGCCTTCAGTCACACTTCGGTTTCCCATGATCCCCAGTCAACCTGAATGGCAAGTTAATGTAGGTCCTCCGTCTCTTTACGAAGTTGAAAAAGCCATAGGAAATCTGAAGCGAGGGAGACCAGCAGGCCCTGACAGGTTTACTCCTGAGATTTTTAAGGATGGTGGTCCAGTATTAGCAGTGAGATTAACTGAGGTCTTAGGTAGAATTTGGGAACTGGACGTAATCTCATCTGACTGGTCTCAATCACTGATTGTGCCAGTCTATAAGAAAGGACAAAAGTCCTCTTGTGACAATCACAGAGGAATCAGTTTGACTAATATAGTGTCTAAAATATTAGCTTCAATAATACTTCGACGCCTAATCAAAGCTCGTGAAGAGCAGACTAGAGAAAATCAGGCTGGTTTTCGACCTGGACGTGGTTGTATAGATCAGATATTCACACTACGTCAGGTTCTAGAACACAGACACACATTCAGGCGCCCCCCAATGGTAGTATTTCTCGATCTTAAGGCGGCATTCGACTCTATTGATCGTGAGGTTCTATGGCAGTGTTTGTCACTGAAAGGAGTACCAAAGAAGTACATTAACCTTGTAAAGGCTCTCTACTCGAACACAACTGGTCGAGTGAGAGCTTATGGCGAACTGTCATCAGAATTGATTACCTCAAGTGGTGTTCGTCAGGGCTGCCCATTCTCTCCATTCTTGTTCAACTGTGTTATTGACGTACTTTTAGAGATAACGCTTTCCTCGTCTAGATTTCCAGGGGTTGAACTTGTACCGGGAGGTTCACTTGTTGACTTAGAATATGCTGATGACATAGTTTTATTTGATGAAGACGCTGACAAAACGCAGAGTCTTCTGACCACTCTAAGCAACAATGCAAGCATGTTCGGGATGCGATTCTCTCCTCGAAATGCAAATGTTGCTTCAGGATTGGGTTACATCGACACCCGAACTAGTGATAGGGAGTGAATTAGTTGAGTGTGTCGACCGCTTCACTTATCTTGGAAGTCTCATCAGCCCTTGTGGTTTAGTGTGTGACGAAATCTCAGCACGGATACAGAAGGCTCGACTAGCTTTTGCCAACTTGCATCATTTATGGCGTAGGCGAGATATCCGTCTACCAACCAAAGGACGTGTTTACTGCACAGCAGTTCGTTCCGTCCTACTCTATGGCAGTGAAACATGGCCGGTAAGAGTAGAGGATATTCGTGGGTTACTAGTATTCGATCGTAGGTGTCTTCGAAACATCGTTCGTATATCCTAGGACCATCGAGTAAGCAATTCAGTTGTTAGGGAACGGGTACTAGGTGAGGATGGCAAATCAATTGATGAAGTAGTGAAACTTCATCAGTTGAGATGGTTGGGACACACACCGACTGCTCCAACGTGCGATGCTCAATGGTATAGGAGTAGGTTGGAAGAAAGCTAGGTGCGGCCAGACCAAAACATGGCACAAATCCATGGAGTCGTTGACAAGTGGGCAAGTGGAAACGAAATGATGGCAATCGATGGTTAGAGACCCTGAATGAGATGGCTCAAAATCGTTTGCAATGGCGCAGGTGCATCACTCTTTATGTTCTCCCAAATTCTAATGTTATGGATTCTTCATGTCCCTTTCTATTTCCTCTTTCCAAATTTATTTCACTGTATTATACTTCTTGAATAGCATCTTCAGACCCTAATGTTTCCGATTACTACTTATACTCTTACTACCTCTACCACTATAGGATTTTAATCGACAACTGCATCTCTGTGCTAATTGGTATGACAACTCGAACTGATGTACGTACGTACGAAGTTCTGCGTTGTTACTGACTGAGTCTCCAGGTTGTAAGTTCGAGTCCTCCTGAACTTACTTCGATTTTGGCAACCAGATCCTTTCGCTAGCCCTCACACTTGGTGTGTGATTTTAAAGCCAAAATTACGTGTGTCTATATATACTTAGCTTTAGGTCGCAATTTTTTTTATTAAGAACTAATTAACTCGGTTGCTCGTTGCCATGTTCAAGCAACCAACGGACTAGTTGAAAGTCAAGTGCTATCACCATTGAACCTATACCTAACGAAACTTCCCAGGCCATCCAGTCTCTTCCTACTCCAATCATTTCTTTCAGTATTCTCACTAAGGTTTTCGTTAGTATTAATGTTACTACAAAGGATGATCTGATCGTCCTTACTTATGCAATTCAATGTGTAATGATTTGGAATTCTTTTGTATCCGTTTTCCAACTGTTTATATAAGATTTATATTTAATCGAGCTTGAAACATCACTTTTCAGTGATCACTATATGCAAATGTTTTTTTGTAACAAATTTTATATCTCTTGCTCTCCACCACACATTCTCTATTATACATTTCTCAAGGTGTTTCATGGATCCGATTCTGATTTAATGTGGTTACAACGAGATTTCGGTGTGTATATGGTCAACTTATTCGATACAGGCATAGCTGCTCGCCTGCTACAATATGGCCGTTTCTCACTTAGTTATCTATTACAACGATTTGTTGGCGTATCTTCGAATAAGAAATATCAACTAGCTGATTGGCGTATAAGGTGCTGTTCTTATTTAGTTGTTCATGTAATGTTTAACGGTTCTATTATTTCATTGAAATCATGAACACCGATCTGAGTTAGACCACCACTGGAAATCTGAAAGCACTGGGTGGCCGTCTTGTCCTAATATGGGATTCCGCAGTAATGCTTATCACGACCCTGCACGCGGGAATGCTTAATCTCTAGACCATTGACCCGGCATTCGATGGTGTTAAAGCCTAACTTCAATTAGTTCACGATATTGTGCGGTCATCTTGCACTGTTGTCAATGGGTAAATGTCTCATCTGATACGATTTAGCTCCAATGGTCATAGCTTCTCACTAGAACTCCGGAAATGTCCCCTCGAAGCTAGTTACTTGTGAATACATGATTGTCGGTATGAGGTTGTGGAGGTGGCTGAATTTCCGTGATTGAAGTCAGACATTAACATTGTTGAATGCGGTTTAGTGGTCTAGAGGTCAAGGGTTTGTACGCGAGGCCGAAGGTCTTAGGTTCGACCCCCAGTATGCGAAATCGTAGATAATCACTGTTGAGGAGTCCTATATTAGAATGAGACGACCGCCTAGTGCTCCCAAGTTTCCAGTTGTGTTTTAACTTCGATCATATGAATTCACTGAAATTCAACAATCTCCGCAATATCTCACTGACAATTTTATTGTTGTTTTGCAATATTTGTAAATTGCTTTGAATAATAATGTCATACTACTGTAAAGAGCTTAGTGAAACGCAGTAAATGCCACTATTCTTATGTGTAAAGTTTGAAATCCCTTTTTCTTTTTGCTTGTTCTCTCGTTCCATCTGTACTTCAAATGTAGTCTTCTTTAAAAACCTTTTTACGCTAAAATGACACTTTGTGGATTCATTAAAAAGTTGTAGGCAAGGTATCCTTTTTGGAAATTTTGTTTGGGGGCGGGAGCATATTATGCGACAGTGTGCTCTATGTTACTTTATGATTGTGTGTTAGCGGGACATAGATTGGATTAAATCATGCTCAATGCACGCTTGCGTTGCCGCACGCTGATTGGCTCATTCTTATCCAATCAGCGTTAGCCAATACTTAGTGAACACTAGAAATCTCGTGTGAAAAAACTATAAATATACTAACGTCTTCCCTATTGCACTACTTACTTCCATCTAAGCTTGTTATTTGAAATAAGATCTCTCTTTCCTGTTCAACCGTGTTCTGATTTGGGGGACTTGTCGAGTGAGTCGTTGTCCGAGAATACTAAGCAATAGGAATAGCTGGGTTGTAATAGAAGAGAGAGTTATAACATTATGGAACTTGTCTTTTGAAAGAAAAGGACTCGTACGTTGCTAACACTTGATTATAGACATCTTCGGAGTGTTACTCGTGTATTTTAGAATGAGCAGTTCTTAGATGTAGGATACTCGTTAAACATAGAAAAATAGTCGGTGGGACTATAAATCTTTGTCGACTAAGGTGACTAGGTCATGATTTATGTACACTTAACTGTTCTTTACTGACTGGCATTTAACTTTGTTGGAAGAAAGCTAGAAACGATGGGATCAACTCGTGAGGTTATTTCATACACATAGTTCCCTTTATCATTTTGACTATTGAGCTGAACTGTGTTAGATGACGCAGATTCCCTGGGTATAGTCGGCATGATAGTTACAATTGGTGACTGGAAAGGTTGGGTAATGTGGCTTAGAGTAGGTTGTAGTGCCGCAAATACATTTTTTATACCCCTCTAGATTTTCAGTTTTAACACAATTTCATACTTCGTATTTTATTTCAGTATTTCTTCTCTGAACATACTCTTCTTGTTTGATCTTTCCTAGTACTATTGTTGCTATGATTACATTTTCTTTTGCTGTTCATCTTAATTCTACTTTTCTGTGCTAATGTCGTGTGGGAACTTAGGCTGATACATATTTGAACCACGTCCTACGCTATTTATAACTGACAGCTGATTCTGTAAAGCTTAGGTAATTTCCGGTTAGTTTAGCATACCGATAGATTTATCTTCTCTCATTCATTGGTCGATGAAATCCGGTCAGCACATATGGACTAGGCAGACATAACAGTGGCCATTATTTGCTGATCAATCAATCGTAGATACCTCAGTCTTAACGAAAGTCATTTTCGGCGTCGATAGCTCAGTGTTAGCGTTTCAGACTATGAAGGTGAGTGATGCATGTTTACGTCTTATAAGAATGAATAGTTCTCTCAAAATAACAGGAACACCCTACTGACAAGCGCCAACGAGAACAAAACTTAGGTTTAGGATTTGCTGTCCCCCGCTTTCAAACACAGTATATAAATCACTGTTATGATTAGTCTTTTTTGGATATATGCATCATGTACAAATTGTTTTGATATACCTGATAGGTACTGGGTTAGAGTCATGATGTGAAAATCATTACTGAGATCCATGTAGATCCAACCAACGATCCCCTAATTGGGTGAAACTCGCATTCTGTATCCCACTGTTAGTCACAATTCATCTATTGTATGAACGTGTGTCAAAATATTTATATCAAGGCAATCCGTACTGGATGCACATATACCAACCGAGACTGATCAAAATCCGGTCACAAATAATTGTATGAGATAATTTAAACCATTAAAAATTAAATTTAATGCTCTGTGTCAACATATTATTTGTATTTTTACTAAAAATTATGCTACTTTTCATTTATGTTAATTAGTATTGTAACTTATACCTATGCTTATTTCTCACAGTTATCTGTGTATTTATATCTATATTTGTTTTGTACCAGACCCCTGCCGAATGAATTGATCGAATATGCACGAACAGATACACATTACCTATTACATATTGCAAGTCGTATGTGTCGAGAATTACAAGATAGAGATCTATTGCCAGTTACTATTGAACGAGCAAGACAATTATGCCTTAAAGTAAGTTGTAGAATATAATATGACTTGTTTTAAAAAAAGGAGATAATTCAATTCCAGTAATTGGTTAAACTATTCAACAAACATAAATAAATGCATAAAGTTTAAACAACATCAAAAGTTTGTCTGGTATTTGTTGAACTCCTGAACACCTTGAATCTTATACATCTTTTCGTTCATCCAAGTGGTCTCACTGTAAGAAAGAATCCAAAGAGAAATTTAGTGATAATCGATAGCGAAGAACAATCGGAAAAAAGAACAGCGAATTGAAAGAAATGAGAAAATTTTCGCACATTTTAGGTCCTGAGAGAAGATGGTATGACATTTTCATTTTATTTTATTTATTGAGTAGTAACTGGCACCAACTATGTCATGCAAACAAATAGGTATGCATTGTGCAGAAATAAAGAAAGGACTGAACAAGAATATTTTATAATAGAAGATCCGGATCAGTTAAAAATACAATCATGAAGACTTCTTTCCGTCACTTTAGTGAATAATTTGTGAGAATGTATACGATCGCTACTGGTTTCGTTAATGAGCCTTGTTGGATAGTATCTCGTACAGCTTAGTTTTACCATCTTCAAGACTTCAACCCGATAGTGTAATAGGTCGATAGATATCAATTCTATATAGTTCTGTTTCATATCACGATGTCAAATAGTAAATTCACCACTTCTCCGTTTTTTTCCAACCAGTGCCAATGTTGGCAAATAATGTACTATGTAAAATCCTCTAGGATAACACACTCGTAGAAGTATCCATTTAAAAGAAATTATTACTTATGTCCAACTACCATCTACATTGGTGTTGGATGTTCACTGACGTAACAGTAGGTTGAACAAAGCAAGACATAATATCAGTCCAAGAGTCATTAACTATTGAACTGAGTCTTATTGATAGATACTGACTGCTTGGTTGTGATCTTCACAATTATCGTAACCATTAGTTCAAGATTTGGAGTGGTTTATAATCGGTCACAATGTCTCAAATACATTCAATTTTGTTTGGAAATACTTATATTCTTCATTCTTCATATTCAGCTTTTTTTCTCATATCATATTGTCTATGTTTGGTCATTTCTAGTACCATTGATATTGTTACTACTTCTGCTACTCTGGTATTTGTCTTGATAATTTAATTTCCATGTACTGTACTGTTAAATGTGGCAATTTGAACCAACTCATGTCGATGTCAGATTCTGCATTGTTTTGTTGATTGACTGATTTAAATTGCTATATCTTAAGTTAACCTTTTTTATTTCTATGAAATGCATTATTTCCCTATCGTTTATTGTACATTATTCAAACTTTTCACCATTGTTGTATGTACATATATGTATCACTTCCATGTAGTGTTATACGAAACCTGTATTCAATAGACTCGGTTATTTGGATCTTTATAGACAAACTGGAAGTAGTAGTTTCAGTCATCGTCAATTATATGCTTTAGAAAATCTTTATGCTTTACGTGATTCGATAGCTAGACGAGAAGATGAAAGTCTCCAGTAAGTATTATTATTAGTAGTATTTTGTTTTATTTTTTGGGTATTCGTTTTTTTCTCAATTGAAGTAATTTCTCTGGTTTTTAGTTCAGGAAATATAACATTTTATTCTGATGGGTTATTGTTTAGATTGGTTTAATTCTCACGCTGTAAAAGAGTCTAATACTAGGAAGAAACAGTTGTTGAGTAGTGTTCTTGGGTTTAATGTTACTCTAAATAAACTTAATCTGTGACTCCGAATACTACTTACAAAATAATGTATTTGATTTGTTTTGTTCGCAAACTTTCTTCGTTGTTTATCTAGTCATATGAAAAGCATCAAAATTTAAGATGTTTTTACAAGTTTAGGGTTGTGGAGTTTGTTGAATTTTATTGAAATCCTGAACCAATCGAAGTTAGACCACCATTGAAAACCTGGAGGCACTAGACGGCCGTTTCGTCCTAGTAAGGAATCTTTAGCAGTACGTGTCTAGGATCAAACCCAAGACCTTCGGTCTGGTCCGTAAACGCTTAGACTCTTAACCACTGATCCGGTATCCAACGGTCGTCCAGTCTTTCTAGATTTTCAATTGTGGTCTAACTTAGATTGGTTCAAAATTTTACTGTGTGTTTTTATTTGTTTTGAGCTTTTTTGACGCGTAAAATTGTGAACAATATCACGTGTTGTGATTTGGAATTAATTAGCAACATATAAGTCATTCAAACACTATCCATTAAATTTATGAATCATGGTTACAAATCTGTGTACCACTATCTCCTCGTTAATATGACTGTGTGATTCGATATTAAGTACATTCACTTGAATTTAATCAGTTAGATTAAAACCTTTGGAGTTTTGAATGAAACGTACTTTTACTGATTATAGAAATGTATCTTTATTAGCAGTCTCAAAACTAAGTTGGGGGATGAGCTTAAAACAACCACGATGAATTGCCGGCCTGCTAACCAATCAGAAACACCCTTTGTAAATGGCTAGTTCATAGAAAAAGAACAATCGTATTGCAAAGTTTAGATAGTTTTTAGGTACTTAATGAATTCATTAGAGTCTTCTACTGGTTACTCCAGCTGTAAATTAGAGAAAAAACAATGACATATAAATTCGTTTTTACGAATGTAGGTTCGTCTTCTCTAACTCTCAAAATTAGCCAGATAGGTTTTTAAGTTTTTACACTGTTCACAGTCAAGGTTTGTATTCAGGGTAATGATCAAGGGTTTAGAGTTAGGATTTTCATCACGAACTGACATCAACTATAATCAGAAGTCCAATCTAGTCACATGAATGAATGAATGTTACACGGAAATCCAAAAGCCCCTATCTGATTATTTCGTTTACAAAATACAGTGCTAACAAGTTAACGTTTACTTCAGGATTAAGCTTTTAGAAGTAGTATCTATTTGCCTGTTATATGCTATCTCCAGAAAAGATTTAGTCATTCGGTACATTTATATTATTATTTTTAGCGTTTGATGATAAAAAATGATTTTCCCTTTTATTTAAGCATTCTGACCACTGTATGAGGATATTACTAATCCATATGACACATGATATTTGAATTTTACACAGAAACCTAAAGGTCGCTTTCTCGATTCTGATCGCTTCGTTCCTATACTGTGCTTTTACCCTATATTTACTGTTGATAACTTTAACCATAATGACAAGGGAACTTTTCTAGGAGATATATGGCTCGCTTTACTTCATCATATCGATCTATCGTTGTTTTTATTGCTCATAGTTTCTAATCGTTTCTTCACAAACTGTATTTCCAATTGTGAAACCTCTTTTAAGTATAAAAACTATATAGTTTCAATGTTGGCTTTCCAAATTAATATATATTCATATTTATATCACTAATCGATCGAAATTAGACAACCTGTGAAAAACCTGGAAGCTCTAGACGGCTGTTTCATACTGCCGAGAAGTCTCACATTGTGACAAACGGTCATCCAATGCCTCCATGTACCCTAATGGTTGTCTAACTTTGACCAATTCATGATGTCATTATGATTCAACAGTTTCCGTAACCATGCACTGATAAATTTATCATTAACTAATTTAGTATGCAGAGGAAAACCGTTGAAAACTAAGATGCGTCCTGGTCAGCTTTTTCATACTTTTTTAATTCATCCAATGAATGTAGACCTACAGCATCGAAAATGGTCTCACACGGATTAGTTTAGTTTTGTGTGATTGTTATCTATTAACATGAATGGGTACCTACTTTCCCTTTTTTACTATCCTAAATCAGTTGTATAATTGTCAGTGTTACTACGACTGATGCCAGTTTGTAATACGAACCAATTTTAAATGGAGAGGATCTCTGCAAGTTATTCATCTAACATAGAACCTTAGCATATGTGAATCGGTTCAAGTTGTCACACCACATCAACACAGCTAGATAAAATTGTCAAAACAAGTGTTAGAGTAGTAGTAATAGTAATAATATCAATAGTAGTAGTAGGAAATATTGAACATAGACAATATTATTCAAGTGGAAAGAATGAGTTCGTGGAACAAAAATAGTATGAAACAATTTTAAAACTCAATACCTAAGAGAAGAGTTGGTAATTGCTTCGGAACCATATCACCTACCATCTCTAACCGTTGTTCACAAGTTTAACATGGATTTCACTTTACCATCACAACTTAAACGAACAATCATTTACCTCACTAACTGACACTATCTCTTGATTTGTTTCATCCAGCTTTCTTCCAACCAACTCCTTTACCTGGCCCTCAAATGCCCTGGTACGACCAAGAGTGGGGAGAGTCCGCTCTTCCTCTCCAAATGCTCTCACATGGCCACGCGTATATAGCCTCTGCCAGAGAATCCTACTCACTGCCTTCTCGTGGCGGGGGTGTTGTTTACGAAGTTGAGAGGACGAAAAGTGAATGTCCGGCGCTTTAACCGAGTTGGTCGACATGGAGAGTCCACCTAGGGGAGTTGGAAAACCCTGATTCCAAACCAATGGTGCACATGGGCTCCAGGATCCTGAGGGACCAAATGGCGTATGAACCAATTGTTGGTCACCGGCTACCATGGGACTGCATTTCCTTACGTTGCTCCACTGCCTTGTGGATCAGACCTTCATGTCGAAGGCTCCGGTGTGACACCCCAAGAAAAACCCTTCGGTTTGGGCACCTGAATGGCATCATAGCCCTCACACATATCAAATGAGATTTGTGTGGCGCATATGTATTTGGTGCCTCGTTGTACCAATATCTGTGTGTTAAAATAAATAATAAATAAATATTACCAGTAAACATCACAGTACAGTACATTGATTCTAGCAACACCCACTACGGTTTCTGTTACTGTCGATATGCTATAATTGTTGAATAATGATAAAACCTTTATTGTTGTTATCATGATTATTGTTCTGAGTATTAATTTCCGTATATACATTGATCTCTTCACAGTTATGTCCTACCAAATCATATGTTAAAAGTAATTGCTGAAGTATTACCACGTGAAAGCTCTGGTATATTTGCATGTTGTAATCCCATTCCTCCACTGGTGCGTAAATATGTTCACGATTTGCACAAGATCATAGTGGATGCAAGAAATTTGCCTGTTACAGATTTAGTAAGTTGAAGCAAAAATTACATTTCTTTATTATTAGTATAGAGGCACTTGTGAAGACTGTAGACTTTTCATAGTTCAAATCACGAAGTGATCTTAACCAGACAATCCTTGAAAACCTAGACGCTTTGGACGACTGTTTCGTTCTTGTATGAGACTCCCTAACAGTATCCATCCACGGCCTCACATTTATGAATCATATTCAAGACTTCGGTCTCGTACTTGGATACTCAGTCTGCAGACCACACCGAGCTAGCATCTAATGATGTGCATATCTAACTTTTTTATGTTGGATCTTAACTATGACTGATAATATTTCCTAGACGACATTCTCAGACATATCATTCTACTTTAGTTTTTAATGCTTCATTTAAAAAAATCATTTAAGTTATAATAGTAACTAATATGTTCAGTCCGTCGAAAATTTTAACTGCTTACTGCTTAGTTAATTCTTAGTCTTGGACGATCTTCATCGAATGAAAACCAAAAGCGAAGGATATTTCATCGGTTTAAGAGTGATCTAAGAGTTGATAAAGAAAATAATAGAATTAATAATAAATTTGAAATTTTTATAAATGTTGATTAATTAAATTAAATATTTTAAACATTTTCTTGATGTTCTAGGCTATTTTTTTTCTAGATGATTTTAGATGAATTTTAACAGTTACCATTTGTCTTATCTTGGCAAATCGATTAATGTTATAGTAATTATTTACCGACTCAAATGGTAAGGACATGTATTACGTATGCTCATCCACCGAATAGCTCGACGAGAAATTCTAGTTGACTGAGCAGTAGGTTGGGAGAAGATGTCTAGTATAGAAGTAGGTTTGAAGACAGCTAGGATTGGCTATACTAAAATATGGTATCAGTCCATGAAAACTCTAACTGTTGAATTAAACCATATAGGCAGGTGCAGATTACTTGATTGTCGTATACGTGATTATCGTAATCAATTATTAGGGACTTTGGATGATATGGCTCAGAATTGTTCGCGATAATTCAGATGCATTCGCTCTTTGTTTTCCCTTAGATCCCTAGTTTCTAAATTACCCTATAGGTTTCTTATTCCACTAATCCGTATCTTCTCGAATCGTAACCACCACTAATCCCAAGCAGAGATGGATGGTGGCTAGCAGTGGAATCCAAGACGCGCGTTTCGTCCTATTTGGGACTCGTCAGCTGGATATACCAGCATCCCAGAGTTGTGTTTACTCCGGGAATCGAACGCAGTACCATTCACTTCAAACACCATCACGTTATCTACTTAGCCTGTGCAATGGGGTGAGGTCTTAATTCATTTTTGCTGTTTAGACTCAGTAGCTAAGTGGATATCGTGATAACGTTCGAAGCGAATGGTACTGGGTTCGAGTCCCGGAGCGAACACCAACTCTGGGATGTTGGTATATCCAGCTGACGAGTCCCAAATAGGACGAAACGCGCGTCTTAGATTCCACTGCTAGCCACCATCCATCTTTGCTTATAATGGTTGTGACTGAAGACAATATTGAGGCAATCAGCGCAGGATCCACATATCCCAATAAGAGACTGATTAGTTACAATCCTAAACATCAATGGAAAAATTCAAAGAACCAATACAAAAATGAATCACCACTGAAACTGTTATTACATGTACTTTTCTAGTATTTCCTTTGACAACTGTATCTTACTATGCGAATGAAGTGTAGCCAATTGAACTGTTGTACACGTGTTCTAGATATTACAATGTTCATTACTGGTTGACTGTTTTGTTATCAACAAGTGACACATCTATAGGCTCTAAAAAGTAACTCCTAGTTCATTTTATAAAAATTAATTGAACTATTACTGATAAACATTATGGTTAGCATGTATTTCAGACCAGTTCTGTTCAGTTATTGATTTTGTATGGCAACTTGGACCGATGCATAAATGTGCCTGGTCCTACGTTGTAGCTGACTGACTGACTGAGTTACTGATTTATAATACATTTTGTAAGTGAAATCTTGGAAAGTGACTTCGTAATCGTTTCCTAATACTTAGAAATCTTCTCTGAACTTGGAACAAAAATATAAAAAAAAAACGGAAAGTTCGGAAGAAGCCTTATTTCTAATACATAGGAAAAATGTATTTATCTATAAAATTGTCTATAACCTTGAGATTTTGGTTCTTTTATAAAAAAAAACATGCTAAATTCGATGCCTGTTCAGTTCAAATAACAAAAAATATAATAGTCTTCTCCTCATCCTTTAATTATATGTCTCAAAAGAAAGTTGTAACTAGGATCTAAATTTACCATTAAAAGTACACGTAGTTATTTATTATAATGAATCAGACTTATGCGTGACGTCAAAAGTACAAATCAACACTTAATATATAATAATAATAATAATAATAATAATATGTAGGTCAGACGTATATATTTATATATCCAGCGTCACATGAGCCCATAAATACTTTTTTATCAGTATTATTTTAACCCTAGCCAAAGTAACAAAGATTGTAATTATAAGATTTAACTAATTAATTGATTGAGTTAATTATTTATGCAGAAAGATAACTTTTTCTTTCAACAAAAATAACTATACCATGATCTTTAATAATTTAAATCACTAACTGATCTTAACTAAATCATTATTTAAAACCGAGGAAGCACTAAACAACCGGTTCGTCTTAGTATGAGACGTCTTGATAGTGTGCATCCATGACTTCACATTCGGGAATCGAACACAATACCTTGTTTCATGAGTGGATGTTTATTTTGTAGGCCACTGAGCCAGCATTGAAAATCATCAGTAGAAAACTCCTTTTTATTCTGAGATCAAACATTAACAATCGCGTTAGTGGATCTCATTTCCTGACTAACCACTTATGTTTTTATGTTATGAGATAGAAATAGTTTGGAGATTTTCTTAATTTGTATAGAATTAATTAATGTGTAGCAAAGTATACATTAGACCATAAATTTCCAAACTGTATTACATTACTATCAATACATTATTAGGAAATGAGTTTTCGAAGCAAGGGAATGGAAGAATTACTTCCCCATATGTGCGAATTCACATTACATAACCTCCCGTTTAAAAAATTGTCATTTATTTCTTGAAGGATTCCTAACTACTGGACATTTGTGAAATATGGGCTGTTAATACTAGTTGATATTCTGTGATAAATATTTTTCATGTATTAATGTCGTTGAGTAGCTTAAATGAGCGTATGAGCATCACCAAACAATATTTAGAAAGGATTAGTTATTTGATATGATTGTGAAATTCCTCAAATTGTGATGACACTGAATTATGCATTGTGTATGTCAAGTCATTATTCACCTCTGTCTTCGGTGAAGAAAATTATCTCATCTACATTGGTGTGAGTAAAACATTTAAACGAGTTTCTTAAAATCTCTAGATATTTGAACGAAGAATATTCTTTTCGATAAATTCTCTTCAGGTTCTACAATTATATATCCAAATTAATAATTCGACAAATGACCAGGTTAAGGGCAAAGTACATCGTTTAAAGCATGTGAATTGAGGATTGTACTTTGAGGATGTACTTTGCTCTTAATCTGTCCATTTTTCGAATTATTAATTTGGATATATAATTGTAGGACCTGAAGAGAATTTATCGAAAAGAATATTCTTCGTTCAAATACTAGTCTTTTAATATGACGGGGATCTTTAAACGATCTCTAGATATCTTCGTTCCATATGTTGACGTTCTTAAGCAGCTGACTGACTGACTCTTTTCAAGAAATGTATAACTAGTATATGCATAGAATTTATTTCATTTTGTGAAATAATTTTTTTTTCTTTTTATTGTTGCATAACAGCCTCTCACTTCTGAAGAGCCAGGATTATCTTCTACACAACCAAATTTACAACAAGAAAATGACAAACGATCATCTGTAAATATACTAACTCCGCAAAACTTAAAATATGCTTTGCCTCATGATTATTCTCGTGAAATTCATTTACTTGTAAACAGTCCAGATTATAGTGATGTCACTTGTATAGAGTTATCAACTAATAGTAAGTTACTGCTGTTTTCTAACGTACATGGTTTATATGCTATGATAGATTAATAGTTTAGGTGTCCCACTCTTAACTGCCTAAGTCGTGGGTTTGAACTCCTCTACAAATGAGTAGTATTACAAGTCCTTACACTCATAGTGTGGTTTGAAATAATGTACACTAATCTGTACTTGATAAATGAGCGTCGAGCTACATTTTATCTGACTAAGCAGACGGAAGTAGTTGGAGTTGTTATGAGTTAGGAATTGATGATTTAATGAATGGGTTTTCATGCATCAACATGAATGAAGCCAACTCAAATCGATAACTGAAATACAATAATGCAGTATGACTGAGTGATAACTGTTCGTTAGACTGAATTATTGACGTCAGTCCGCAATTGAACTTAAATGAAAAGACAAGACAAGTACACGGTCCCATACAAAATATTGGACACAATAATAGATATAAATCATTTTAGAAATAAATAATAGAAAGATATGACAACTATAGGTCATTCACTCTCTAATAGAATTAGTCCCAAAATATCTGTTTTGAATTCTTGCCCCATTATATCGGGACTAGAATTAGAACTTACAAATTAATGGTTTCCAAGTCGGTTGAATTCTTAGTGTTAAACGGTTGCTCAATTATAATCACACTGTTTCTTTTTATCAGACTCAGGAGTTTTTTTTGGTAGTGGACTATTGCATAACGAATTATTTTTCTAGGCTGTACTTTCATAATCAGTTACATTTTTCATCACGGATATAATGAGCACAGACTTACTTGGTTGCAATGAGATTGGTATACGACATTGATTTTTTTCTAGCTGTATAATCTTTGAATGTAATATGTTCGGTTTTACGATATTTTAAATATATTTTCTTACAGTACTGTCGACATGTTTTGAAGGGTGAAATAAATCTTGTGTACTTAGTTTACGTGTTCATATTTGTGCCGTGGTAATTGCAGTAGTTGCCAGTTCCAAATATTATGGTACTGTCACGGTTACAACAATCACTGAGTTGTACGTTTTTTTTTGTAACACCAACATATGGGGAAAAAAGTTGTATTTCATGTTTTTTTTTCAGGGAAATCTTCAATGTTGGCATCAGCCTTACTACCGAATCATTGTCTAGCGGGAGTTAAAGTTAATGAACAACAGGTAATTGGTGTGATTTTCGAGTTTTATCTACTCTGTCTTGATTCAATACAACTCATTAACTATATAAATTCAGCGAACTGACCCTATAATTAAGCAACTATTGGAAATTAATAATCGTTGGGTAATTGTTTCGTCCTGGTAAAGGGTCCTTTAACAATACCCAACCACAGCCTCACTGGAGATCGAACTGATACTCTGATGTAATGGGTGTCCAGTGAGTGCTACCTGATTTTAGTGGTTACCTAACTAAAGTCAGTCTATGATATGTGAGACTTCAAATCCAACAATGTTCATAGGATCCTCTGGATTAAGTTGAGAGCTACACTTTGGCTGACTCGTCCTAGTATAAGACTCATCAGCAGTTTCTATTCACGACTCCGCCCCCTGCAACAAATCTAAGATGTTGGGTAATGTACGTGAATGTTCATTCTGTAGACCACTGAGAGGCATTCAGCAGTGTTACTGTCTAACTTCAATTAACCTGTGATATTGTGCGACCATCCAGTGCTTCCAGATTTTCAGTGGTAATCTAACATTGATCGGTTCATGATTTCAATGAGATTTAACAATCTTCACAACCCCATAATGATAGTTTCCAGTAGTTGTTGTTATTTTAATTATGATCACTTCGGAGATTTATGAAAATTTCATTTTTTTGTTATGTTTTCGACTGATTATTAGTTTTCCACGAAAACCGGTTTGATATTTCTTTGAGAGTTGTTAAGACACTGACTAACTGAAATAATGCATTTGTTGTTCTGATTTCTACTAAGAGTAATATTACTGAATTATAGGGATTTACAACAATAAATGAATCAAGTTTTGATATTTATTCTGATCAATCTAGTTGTTATCATTATATATATACTCGTTAGAATTTAATAGTGATTAGCAGTAGAATATAGGACACATTTTTCATGCTGTCCAGAATTTGTCAGATTGCAGTGCTAAATTTCACAGTGAAACTCAAACAGTATTTTTCGCATCAAATACCAGTGTTTTATCTATAAGATAGTGGCTATATAGCTCAAGGAATAGCATTTTGGCTTTTGAGATGAAAAGCGATGAGCTCGAGTTTCAACAGAAGCACAGTCATTAGTGTGTAGGCATATCCAACTGACAAGTTTTAAACAGGGAGAATCGCACTTCCTAAGTTTCATTACCATCGAACTATATTGAAGAATTATGACCGAATGCCAGTATCAGGGCAATCTGGTTAGGATGCCTACAAGTCATAGTGAACGATTAATTCTTATCTTTAACATATATAATAGGAAAGTGCAAACCGTTTCAAATCAATCCAATGTATATGTTTTTGTGGTTGTTTTATTTTCCTGTTGCTAAACGATAAACCCATAATTAGGTGATATTCTATGTGTGATTGATGTCCCTTTAAAATCTTGTGCTCACATCGTTTATCTGTCGTTTCTTAAACGAACTCTACCTTGATCAAATAGCATTATTTCAAGCAAATCTATTATTCAAACCATATACCCATGATGATACCTTCACTTTCTAATATGAATTAATTTAGGATGTCAACTCTAATAGGCTTATACTACATTTCAAAGGAAATACCATGTCATATATGTAATTATTATCGTAAATAAAAAAATTCTGAATTAGGTACAAAACCGTTCACCTTATAATATGTTAGCTAATCAATCTACTTGTTGTTTATTTGAGTAGTACAATATTTTGTTTACAAAACACTTTGTTTCAATTTTAGTCCATTTTTTGGACATAACAGTCTATCTCTGTCTGTATGATAATATACAACTTCATTGTTAAAAACTACTGCATACATTATCTATGCATTTAATGTCTGTTCAGTGTTCCGGTTTTCCTTCTTAGCATATAAGACACCATTTTGTGCTGTAGAGATTAGTCTGACCTTGTTTATTTATTTATGGACAACAAGTGCAACACTGAAAATTGATGAATAGACAATAAATATGTACCGATAAGAATAGACGAAAGTATAAACGAAGAAAATAGAATAAAAATGTGAGATAGAAGCGAGAACATTATTCAACTAACTGTGTATATTGAATTGCTTTGTTAGTTGGACTAAACAAATTTCTAGACTTGTTTGTCTGACAATTTGTATATCTGTATGTGTTTGTGCATGCTGTTTGATATGTGTTTGTTTATTTATTATTAATTTGTTGACTAGTAGTTGATTACTCACTGACGCTGTTGTCGCTGTTTCAGTAGATACGAATACGGATGATGATTCACTTCTCAGTTGTTGTTGTTATTTCTGTCGTTACTATTTATTTTATTTTCTATTCCATCAACTGTTACTTCTCTTTTTTTCTATTTTCTTTCCAATTGTCTATATGTCTCGCGGTCATGACCTTAGTTATCCGAATACATAAGCCTATATCTATTTTTGTCAGACTGGATAAAGTGTCCAACAATTAGATTGTTACTTTATATTTGATACCAATATGTTTCATGGGCTCTATATTAGAATAATATAGAATTTTTAGTTTGGGAAACTTCACGATTCTAATTTAATAATTAAATGTTTCACTAGTTGAAATCATGAGTCAATTGAAGCTAGACCAACATGGAAAACCTGGAAGCACTGGACGGCCGTTCCCTCCTAGTATAGACTGGATGCACAATGCTGACGAGTCCCATACAAGGATGAAATGGCCGTCCAGTGCTCCCAGGTTTTCCATGGTGGTCTAGCTTCAATTGACTCATGATTTCAACCAGTGAAATTTCTAAAAGTCTCCACAAAACCCCTTCTGATAATTAAATGTTTATCAGTTAATGTCCTGTTTTGATCGTCAACTAAGCTCATTTTAAATTACGAACAATTGAGAAACTTTTTTTCTCGATACGTCTAGAATCTATGTGAACTAGATGAATAGGACAACTAACATATAGAGTACTTTAGCTAATAATTTCTTACATGACTGAAAAAAAAATTCACCAGCTCACTAAAAAGCTTGATACTCAGAGAAGTTCAAATAGTCATAGAACAATTTTCCACATATATCAACAAATACGACATTGGAACACAGCAAAAGTAACAAGCTTAAAAAAACGACAATCTTTAAGATAACAGTAATGTTCAACGCAGAAATATAGACTGTAAAATAGTTACTGAGGCCTTACTTAAATGTCAGAACTACTATTTATTAATAAAACTAGCAATTATATCATCTATATGCAGAAGTTGTAATTTCTAGTCATTATTATTGTTGTGTGATTCGTTTGTCAAGTACAGATTTTTGTTGTTTGTTTTGAACCATAATTTAATAAGTGTAAATCCTAGTGTTATTACACTATCTGATCGTCTAATCCGAAATAGATGATACATGAATTCGAACTTATCACCTGTTAGTTGTTAGAAGTTGTATTTCACAAGCAATAAGCCTCTGCTACACTGTCAACAACTAATCAATGTTTCATAAAAACTACTTTTTAGTTCTTACTTGAATGCGGCTTCTCAGTCAAACTGTAGTTATGATTTGATACACCCAGATTGTTTCACAAATGAGGAATAACTGTCATCGGGACTATGTTGATTTCCTGTTAACTTTCGTTCACGTCATCTGTTTGTGTTTTAGTTGTATTGGTGTAGCCCGTTTTTCGTCTTTCGAACTATTTGACAATGAATACAAAATCAACCGAACCTAATTCTTTCTGGGTAGTTAACGGAGGATATGTATATATAATTGATTATTCAGTTGTATTAGTATAGAGGACTAGAACGCTACCCAGTAGTTATTTGAACTGAAGTAATCGAAACAGAGATTTAATCTACAATTTATTTGGTTGCAAGTATGACTTCTCTAAGTATAAGTTATCATAATTGTGTACCTACTGTCATCACTACTGTTCATCCTTGTCGTAGCTATACTAATAACTGAAGAATGTAGTTTGCTTAAACATCATCTAACAATGATATCCTGTTAGACAAAAAAAAACGCTTCATAAATCCATAAACTATTGAACCACTTAGGTCAAAGTCTAAACGTGTTTGTAACGAACTTCATATCCGTTAAATTTTAAATAATACTACCTTATTGTTTTGGATCATGTAAAATGTGAAATATTGAGTTTGTAAATCACTTAGAGTATTTTAAAAAGTGTTGTTGGATCATATTCTGACGTTACTAGTACTCTTTATCCACTTGTAATAAAATGCATGTGTGTGCTCATTGTAAACATAAATAGATTATGAAAACATGTTTACGCATCTTACCAACATGATTGTAAAACGGACTACTTTTTATATATAAAAATTTCTATTCTTATTACTATACATTTCATATTTCGATAGAAACGTGCTCAGACTAATTTACTGTTTTGTTTTCGTGATGAAGAGTGGGGTAGTTCTTTTGTTTATTTCTTCATTGTTGTCAGTTTTTTAAGTGCTTTATATTTTCACTATTTGTTTACGCGTCAGTCTACAAAATGACAGGTTATCGTTTGTTTGTTTAACCTTTTGGCTTGTACAACTGATGAATACTTTAATGTTTTAGATAGTTCGGAATTATTCATTATAATAATTGACCTCTCCTCATCACTGTTTTTTTTATTCTGTGTGTTTGTGTTTCATATTATGTCTAGGAAATGAATGAGACTTCGGAAAACAAACAATTCAAGGATAAATTTCTTGATCCTAATCATTTATTACTTATGAAGGTAATTGATGTGTGTGTGTGTTTATTTTGAAGTCATGTTTATGGTTTTATCTTTTTAAAGCTAATCGCTCCGTTCTTCTTTTGTTTGAATCTGCGTATGACATATGCACTGATTGAAGATCTTTTGCGTAGGGGCTAATGGACGGTGGATAACGATTACAACTAGAAAACTATAGAGAACTGAACAGATGGTTCGTTTCCGTTTGGAACTACTAGGCAGTACCTAACAATAGAAAATTCACATTAGTTAGAAGACAGGACTTACCTTGGAATAACTAACTCGAATATCTAATGATCTATGTATCCAACTTCACTTAATTTGTGATATATCTTAATAATTATTTTATCCAATGTCAATAGTTGAATAACTATCAACATAGTTGTGAATTGTGCATCAGTCTATAATTTGATATTGGAAGTCTGGAAATTGATAATTAAACTGGTCACTAGCCGGGATATGATTATTCTTCGGTTAAGTTGTTTTTGATGGCTGATTGAGTTCGATTACAAACCATAAACATCTATCGGATTGATTTCATTATCATGATTAGTTGTTCATGTCAATAATTTCTATAGTATTCTTTCAATGGAGGAGAATGGTATGTTACATCAGATCATGAAGTGATTCAGTCAGTCAGTCAGTCAGCTACAACGTAGGACCAGGCACATATATGCATCGGTCCAGGTTGCCATACCTCATTAGCACAGTAGATGAACACAGGATTCCTAGGAGTCGTTAGGTCAAAGGTGGTAAATAGGAGAAAGATTGCATATGAGGATACAGTGCAGAGAAAGAATTAGTTAGTAGAAAAAAGATAGAAGTGATTTTAATCTCTTAGTTTTAGGGAAGATAGGTCTGAGCCATGTTGATAAATGAAGATTAATCAGTCAGGGTGTCGCTTGATAACCACAATCAGTGGTTGGATACTTTTGTTGACATGACTTAAAATCGTTCAGATACGTTCATTCTTTATAATCCACTCAATCTTAAATTGTAGTATTGCTTGATATTTACTTTCACAGTCTTTCCAAACTATATTTCCAAAATTTAATCTTTCCTTTTATCATTATTGCTACCTTATTTCTATCTCTTTTGTTATTTGAATCTCATGGCAATGTAGTCTGGAAACTTGGATTAACCCACATCTTTAACAGGTTCTATGTTGTTGATGTCTGTCTAACATACTGAAGTGTTAATTGTTCATGTGACAAAATCATTGGCGTAACTCTCCAATTGAAGTGAAATCAGACGACAAACAAAATAACATATCTATATTCAAATATCTCAAAATCCACATGCTTAGACGTTTTAAACAATTGAACAGAACTAACTTTTTAGGTACTCATTCATCTAATGAATAAGAACCTAGCTAGTATTAAAGCAAAAAGTAGTTGGATGTGTAACACTGGGATTCGATGAAAAGCTTAATGATCAGAGTTATCTCTCCTGCGTTATTGCATTGTTGTTTTGTCTGTATTGTTATTGTGTGACTATATAACATATGTATGGATATGAACTCAAGTGTAATATTTTTGGATTGTTTAATAGAAAAAACTGTTTGAGTACAAAAACTGAGAAGCAAATAAGTTGATGATGGATATTAGTAAACTGTAAAATATTCAGTCTAACGTTGTATGACTGTTAAACCAGTTATTACGGCAAATTTGTTTCAGTGTTTAAATGTTCTCAATGGAGACTTGTTTATCTCTTCTATATTCTCATTATAAATACATAGATGGTCTTAACAAACAATCATCTGTGAGTATAGAAAACTACCAGCATTCTGTTTAACAGTACATAACTGACTGAGCTTTCTACTTTCTGGTATAAAGTTCTGGCCTACAACTGATTATTGAAATGTTTACACACTTCGAACTAGTGACATTTACCTGTCGTATTCGAGATTCAATAGGAAAATTTGACATCACCATTGTGTGTTTTAGTGCATAGTTTCAGGTATCGTTACGTAAATATATTTATGACTAAAGATTTCGGCAATTATCAACGCATATTCATTTTTATTTTACTCTAAATAGCTGTTGGAACTACTTAAATTCCCATGTTCTCCACTTACAACTGAATATAAATCGTCTGAAGATACAAATACCTCTGTTCCAACTGTTGTCTCACAACAAACAATGTTACAAGAATCCTCTGATACGCTAAACACATGTAAGAGTACAATGCTATTTTTGTGTGTGAAATGTTTTTTTAAAAATTGACTAACTAATGTAAAATTGTGATGTATAAAATTTAAATACTGAAGGTGATTTTATTTTCTGTTCAAACGCAGTTAGTGAATACACCTTTCCAAGCACAAATCGGCATTTGAATCAAGTCTTAAAGTTATGTGTTTTTTATTCTTGTCTCCAGAAAGCTGACTTTTTTTCAGAATTAGTTTTCTCCCTATTCCAATAACTCCAAAAAGACGACACCAGAAGTCAGTCACCTCCTGAATAGCCTAGTGGTAATATTTCTGACTGTGACGTAAATTTGACACCCATAGTGAGTATCTTTCTCTGCAATATTGTTGATACACCCTTGTTATGTTTTGTGATAGGCTACGATCATTCCGAATTGCGAATGTTTGGGAGATTCTTCTAATCACTTGTACATTACAATACTTCAATGTTAATAAACCACACGCGAATACCACACACAGACAGAGAATTCTTTCAGGGGTGTTTTAACGTTCTCAAATGAAGTCAACATTATAATAAAACAGCTCTGTTTATGGAGCAACAAACGCGACCTTGATATATAATGCAAAAATGACAAACTAAAAGCAGAACTAACCAGTTAAGTAACAGCTATGGCAATCGGGTAGATTTGAATTTTCATACAATTTTTCTGATTTACCTCGGTTGGGTCATCACAATAGGCAAGCCTGACCAACACGTCAAGCTAGCAACCATGTAATATACAAATGTTTCCGTACGATGTCCAGTTATTTAGGCTACTCTTGTCGGTTTGCAGTTGATCACTAAAATTTTATCAACACAATGAAACTAAATCAATAATACATTGGTAACTAACTAACTCAATGGCTATTATACATATTCAGCATAAATTGAAAAAGTATCCGCTAGTTTTATTTTCCTGTATCATGTTATATTGAATGTTTCTGATTTCTCTTTGTTTATTAGCAATTATCATGAATTTATCACTAGTTAAGAAGAACTAAAGACAGTTCAGCGAAAAAGAGTTTTCTTTTCAACGATATCATTTACTCACGTTGTATATTCGTATTTATTGTTAAATAACAAATAAAGTAGGCTTTTCAAAGTCCAGTTCACCAGTTGATCTTAGCTAGACCATCATTGAATCCCTGCAAGCATTGGATGGCCGCTTCGTCCTAGTATGGGACTTGTCAGCGGTACGCATCCGCAATCCCGCACGCGGGACTCGAACCCAGGAGCTAAGATCTCGCACGCAAACGCCTAATCTCTAGACCACTGAGCCGGCATCCAACGGTGTTAATGACTCATGAATTCAACTGTGAAAATACTACAATCTCCACAAATCCACATGCTGATAATTCGACTAGCCTATTGAAAATCATAGGAACGACTACATCATAACATATGCCAAAAAAATGTTTGATAATCGAGAATTTAATTTAATCTTATTATCTTTTTTCAAATTCTCAATCGTTAAAGCATTTTCTTTGATGCATGATATAGTATAATCGTTATTCTGTTTTTTTAATCGACTACTTTAATTGTTAGTTATCAATAAATGCGACTAGCCAACTTGAATAAATGTTATCGTTGAAAACAAAACTCTTTTTCGCTGAATTGTTTTTAATTTTTCTCCAATGATACCATGAATTACTTTTGGTATATTATTACTTTTCAGCTGAACACCTAATCAAAGTGGATGGTGATACAACTCAAGATAGTTCGTGTATGAATGATAGTCAATATTCTATTGCTTCTGATAATGGATATTCCAACAAAGTAAAACGACCACACAACAGTGAAATCATTGTTAAAGCAACACCCAACTTCGGTGATGATGAAGTGGTTCTTTTATGTAATGAAAAAGTAGGCATTTTCACCATGTTTATGTTGATGTATTTTTCTTCCATAACCTACTTATAGTGTACTGTACATATTCCGTTGAATATTCGTGAGAACCTTATTCAAAATTATACTCATGGTATAATCATATCCATTGTGTATGTGTCAGTTCGATCAGTCAGTCATACTCAGTGTAGAATCTGACACATCTTTATATTGGTTCAAGTTGCTATACCATATTAGCATAGCAAGATAAAACTGCTTCTCAGTAGTACCAGAACGAATTAATTATAAAAGAAGGAACGTATTACAAGATTTCGAGACTCATGTTCTTAGGAAATACATATTTTGTGTGTACCTGTGACATTCTGAGTCATGTCACCCAGCCTCTAACCACTGGTTACGATAATTATATGGACCTCAACCAAGTAGTTTGTAACTGCCTACATGGCTCAGTCAAATAGTCAACGATTTCATGAACTGGTGCATGTGCCTCTTTTAGCTTTCTGTCAACGTGCTCCTACATCAGACAACATTATCAGTTGAGGTTGTTAGTTGTTAGGGCTACATAATACATGCGTAACATATGTTTACTATAGAGAAAAAGAAAATTAATACGATATGAAGAAAATAAAGGAAATTAATTTCAACTGATATATTAATCTAATCATGAATAGTACAGTTCAAAATCAGTAAATGAAACCGAGGAAGGAAAACCTTTGAGGTGATAGCTAGAAAGAAAAGAATTATCATTGGAACTTCAACATTGTCATCAGTATTGAGCAATACTAGTAACTGTACCTCAATTATTTCTTCCCCTTTAACTAAGAAGCCTGAACCTACTGATATGTCAACGAACATCAGTCATGAAATGATTCCACATCTTGTTCTGTCCGCCTTTAGCTTCTTTTCGAACTGCATTTCTATCACAATCAGCTACTTGATTTCTTTCATGTAAAGGTGAATCAAACGCGAAACCTTAAATATTTGTTTGCGAACCTTCGAGCTACGATCCCTTGATATCGATAAATGTGTATTATAAATTGTTGTTTATTCAATAATTCATCATGTTTATCAAGTTTTAATGAACAACACAGTGACAATAAAACATAGTTCCAATATACTTATTAACCGATTTTCTTATTCTTGAATTATATATATATATATATATATATATATATATATATATATATATCACGAGCACAAATTCGATCGAATTCAACAGACACCATGGATGAGGTGAAAGGTAATATTTTACATCTAATTTGACCTTTAGTGGTGACCAAACGGTTCACATGAATAAATGAATGTCTAGACTGAATTTTCTTTTCGATGTATTAAAACTCCTGTTTAGTCATACAATGCTAATTAGTCTTAAAATGAATATTATGTCTTGTTTTGGTCTTTAACGTTTCGTTTTCATCTCCTTATTATATCAACCTTCACATTGTTAGTTGTGTAATTCTATAAGCAATATAAGCCACTTAACTTAATGGTAGAATTCCGATCAGTTCTCCCTTTTTTGTGGGACGGGGTAGCGGTACGTCAAATAAAGTCTCGAAATATGAATCATGGAAACATTCTTCAGTATCAGATTTTTGATCATAGATATCGCCGAAGGATTAATCGCGAATTATGAAACGACCTAATAAAAGCAGTAATGAGTTTAGGTATAAATCACTAGTCAAAGATGGTAAGTCTTCTGATAAGGCTGTAAGTCTTCATCAACGTAAGTGGTTGGTACATGTATTACATGGTTTTCACTTATTTTGACTTACACTGTTGCCTGGTGTAAGAATAAGTTGAAAGAAATCTACGGACTGATAAACGATGACATGTTTTTAGTCCACCATATCATCAACCTTCAATCTAGACTATGATTACAGGTGAGGACAACTACTATATCGGGGTTTAAACAATAATCGCCATCTCTGATTGGAAATGTCGGATGATGTGGTTCGAAATCGGTTATTCTAGTGTATATTCATTCAATCGTTATCTCCCTCTAAACGTTGAACCCCAGCATTTTTTCTTCATTCCTACTTTATGATTCATTCTTTCCAAACCATATTCTAAATGATTTCGACTCCCGTGTTACTCAACTCGTAAATTTCATTTCTCTTCACTCAGTATGAGTGGTTTGGTATCTTCAACGAATCCACACTTTTATCAATCTGTACGTTGATTATGACAGGCTGATTGACTACTTTAGTGTTCATTTTTTTAATCTGTCTTTTTTCTTTGTTTTCATTTATCATTAGACAAACACCAAGGGTAAAAGACGCAGGAAAACTTATGAACAACAAAAATCAACACTGCGACAGGGTAGCAATTCTAGTCATCAAATCAATCCCAATAAAAATATGGAAATGGATGATGTATCCATTTTAATTAAATGTGAATCTAGTCCTGAACAATTAGAAGGTTTGTATATATTTATTTATTTTGTTCTTATTTCTTTCCAGTTCATGAATATTCTAGTGTGTATAAACAGTATAGATTCGTAAGTTTATATTTAAGCTTCATATCTCTATACTAGGCGGCAGTGACAACAGCTTGCTTAAACATGTTGTGAATCGATATTATTTTGTTTGTCAGTACAGGATAACGATTGAAAAAATTTTCCAGTCAGAAAGTGAAATCTAACGTGACTCTGATTGATCGAATTATTGTTCAATTAATAACAGCCCCATTCAAATTAGACCAGAACGAGATGGGGAATTTTTAGTAAAACTTTCATATCGAAGGGAATATTACGAAATAAATAAACATTACATTGCAAAACATAGTTACTAATAAAAGTAATTGATGTTCGTATACTCTAACGGTCCCAATAATAGTAAGGTATAATATTTGTCGTTGCGACAACTCCAACATGTAATTGGAATATTTATTTGGATCAGCCCTCCAACAGTTTGGTCCATTTATTTCTCCAACTGTGCAAATAGCCCAACAAATCTTCCCATTTTGGTTTTATTTTAACTGAATCGTTATTAGTTCTAAACGTGTATGTACTCACTCATTTATCCTAAAAAAGCAATATGGTCTATTATGGTGTTAAATACCTAAAACTGTCAATTTATTTTACATTTTCGTCTACTGTTTTAATAAATGAAAGGCAATCACACTGGAATCTATACTTTCTACATCTGTCATGATTTCTTGAGGCCCGAATAACTCATTGATAACGTCTGAGATTGTGAAATTGTTTGGTTCGTGTTCGAATCCCACAGAGATCACGAGTTCCCTCAAGATTTTTGATAGGGTTTGCTGACAAGTGCCAACTAGCATAATACCTAGATCTATCAGTTCTTCTTGCCGATTACCTTCAATCACTTCATATATATGACTGATGAACAAAAGGGTTACTGCAGCTGAATTGATAGAAAGGTTTTATGATCGAAGATTATGAATGACAGATGCTAATTATCAAGAAAGTATCTAGAAGATGTGTATTTAAATTCTTAGGCAGGAATCTCTCACAATATTTCATATCTAGTACAGAGAATTCTTTTACTGCAACAAAATTTATGGTTCATAATAATAAAGCAGGTCAACCGTAGTTTACATGGAGTCTCGTACAAGTGTGGATTGATCCTAATCACCGTACCATATTAACAGGACGAGATGAAATCGACAAAATAAATAATAAACGAGTCAAAATCATGTGACAACTATGATAATAGGAATAACTAAATATTAATAATATCTTCTTTAAGAATATAAAATGAAAGGAGATGTAGGAAACAATAATGTGGCTCAATATTTAGATTAAAATAGTCAGTAAATGCACCCGAGTAATTGTAAGAAATCTGGAGTCGTGTTACAAAGCGCGTCTCCAACCATTAACAGTGGTTATCACTTGATTATTATTTTTATTATCTGTCAAATAGATATCAAATAAACACAATCAACTTTTACTTAGAACCAGGGAATGAATAAAGATATTGGTATTGTCTGAGTAATTCACATCGTAATTTACTAGCAACTTGAACCAAAAGTGAGAAAATAGTTGAATGTTCAGAAAATTAATTAATTTACAATAATACCTAAATCAATCCAAAACAATAACAGAGAGAAATATTCTTTAGACGCATTGTTGAGAATTTAAAGACATTATTGGGAAATAACTTACTGTGGGTAGTATATTGATTATGTTTATATGTATATAACATGATCAAGTAATTACTGCAGTAGAATATTAGGTCTAATAACTCTACTATAATATTTCCCTTCTAGAAACTCAGACACAGTATCAATTAATCTCATTCCATATGTTTATTCATTTCATAGCACAAGAGTGCGTTTGGCTTTTTTGTTTAACCTCAGCGATATATGTTTTCCATCTATTGTTTTGATTTTTCTCAATTTTACCAACAAAAAAAAGATTCTTCAGCTGACTATACATCGTTCTTCAACACACCACCTGTTGAATCTTCAACAAATGGTGCTTCAAAGAAGAAAAAGCGACCAGTGAAAAAGTTTAAAGAATTTCGTGTAGTAAGTTGGCGATATCATATTTATTCAATGTTGATGTTGCGTATTTATTTTGTTTTATTATTCTATTTTTTAAAATATTAATTTGGTTTATTTTTGTGTTTGTGCACGCATATCTATTCGATTTCAATCAGTCATGTTTGATTGTTTCATCAAGAAGATTCACAAAATATGTTTGCCTGATATTTGTATATTTTCTATTTGAAGATATCTTAATGCTGTAAAAAAAGAAAGCTGAGTACAATGCAGTTACTATTATTATTTATGGGTTGTATTCATCACAGATTGATCGCATCTCATATATGAGACTAATTCTCATCGATAGACGCCCATAACACCACCAGAAGATAAACTTGAAAGATTTACATCTATCAATAAACGTTTAACCATTAGTATCGCTACGTTGGAGTCCAATAACATTAATATCAATATACATATCAATAAATATAATCTACACGATAAACCAATCTCCACAAAACCCTTTCAATCATACTAGCGTTATTATTATTATTAATGTTGTATGGCACATGGTTTCACACGTTCAACTCTAAATATCATCTTTTGTTTTTGTAATCACCTATCAAATTACCTGTTTAGCGTAAGGCATAAAATAGATTTGAACCTGTTATATAGTTGTTCAAAATTCGTGAATTGACTGAAGTGTGAATACCAGTCTAAAAGTTAAGCGTTTCCTTGTAGGCGTAATTGTACTTAGTTTGATCTCTAGTGAATTCGTTAGAAAGTTGTACACTAAGATGAAATAGCTGTTCATTTCTTCCTGGCTTTTCATGGTTGGTCATTCAAGGATAATTTATAATGTAAAATCACAATGATCAGTTTAGTGTATTCATATGACTTTTTGCAATGGTGATTCTGTTTTTTTTTTATTTCTGAAACTGATATCAATCTGTCGAGTTTTATTGATTTTGAATACTGCTAAAACAACAATCAAAGCAGTTTCATGAATGTAATTATTTTTCAAAATATTTTTTGGTAATAATAAGGAAGGTTCGGGAGTTATCCTGAATGTTCTTTGATTACGCCGCTGTTATATCTTTATAAACAATTATTATAAGGTTTCCGTACGTGAGTTTTAAATTGATTTCTACTTAGGAACGATCGAGATAGTTCAAATACAAATGGAATTATTTGTTCACTTGACAAGACGCAAACGACTGACACATAACAGTGCAACAATAATCGTCAACGGTGAAACCCAAGAGTAAGGCACTCGATGTTTGACAAAGGATAGTTTGAAACAGAATAACTCTGTATATATAATCACAGAACATGATGTTAGGATATACAATAAAAATGGTAGCCACCAGTCAGAAAGTAGCAAAAATCTATGTTAAAAAGAAGTACTCGCTTTTATAATTACAAGTTATTGCATAAAAAATATTTTTTGTCAATTTTAAACAGCCTATGACTTAAGTATGAAAATTCTTTACTCAACTCTTAAGAAGGTACAAAACGTCCATCGTTGCCTTTGAATTATCCGCAAAAATCCAATAACCGGTACCTTCCTTCTGTTTGATTCACTGGTATAATATAGTTTTACCACGAGTTAGAAATATTTCTTGACAAAGACTCTAAAATCTCAGGAAAAGTTGAAAGTATCTTAGTTCATCTGCAAGAATAAATGCGCCCCCAAAACATTATGCTACATTTCAATGGGTTATCTACCCATCAGCAATTCGATTAACCTTGGAGTAAAGCTTTTACTCATGTTTCATGTCTTTCCCCTATTGTATAAATTCGCATGTAGAAGTAGTCTAAGGTTATAGAAAGTATCTAGAATGTCAGATTCAAGCATTTAAGTAATGAGGTTTATCATAAACGCAAACATTTTTTTGTGTTGTTATTTATTTTTCAACAAAATTTAGACATAACTACTAGGTGTAATCTTTCTTTGTTTTTTCCGAGTAATTTATTTTGTCTAAGTTTTTCATTATTTAACTACAAAAGGAAATTGCATGCTAGGTGTATAGTAGGTTAGGGTTACACTGTGATGACGCAACAAAGCTGATTATTATTGTCATCGTCATTGTTGTCCTGTTAATATCATTCATTTTCTTCTTATTCGATTTTATTGTTTTACGTTTTGTCTTAAAATTAGTTTCATAATCAATAGACAACTGTAAAGGTTTTTCTACTCTTGTTACATTTACATCTACCGAAAATATTCTCTCAACTCAATTACACCTTACCCCCTCCACTACTATTATTTCATCGAATGGCAATTCATTATTATTATTTACTTTTACAAGAGAATTTCTTCTCATTATTATGCAACACGATTGTTATTGATGTTTTTCTGATGTGTGTGTATGCGTACGAGTAGACTAGCGAAAAAACCATATGAGTATGAAATAGAATAAACCTGATGGTGTTTTATTCGTTCATCTCATTTTTGTCGGTTAACCGGTCGATGTATTTTCTGTTCATGGGAGGCCTTGATCCATGGAACAACAGTAATAATAACAAGTGAACTAAAGTGGCAGTATTTCTTTCATTTCACTATTGGTTCACATTTCCCGTCTTCTTTTTCCTCTTTTTCTTTGTCTATCAGTTTTATCAGTCTCCTCTCCCTATTTGCTGTTTCGTCAGAATACTACTGCCTTGTTATTCGAACACAATATATTATTTTATACAAGATAGGGATCAGTGGTTAGAGTTAGCCTTATACTTGGAGTTGTCCAATTTTCAGTTTATTCACAACTTATATACTTGTGGTTGTGTGGCCGTGCACGTTTATCATAAATATCTCTTTACCTGCCTGCTCATATTTATTTCTTGATAAAGAGATGTTAGATATTGTCCTCCTTCCCTCTTTGACTCACTCACTCACTCGTCTATGCACACACAAACACAGTAGCTTGTTATCATTTGTTATCGTTGTTTTTTTTGTTCGAACTCTTTCAAGCTTTCTTTTCTACTGCCACATTTATTTTTCTCTTTTTACACTCAAATGCTTGTTTTGTCTCCGATATCTAGGACGAATGTGAACTGTTTATAAGACATTTAGTGTTTAAAAGCAAAAATTTGATATTTTTATGTAGATTACTTTTCGCCATTATTATTATTATCATGATTGTTCATTTGAAATTATTTATTCGCTTCGGTAATTTTTTTTTCTATTTGTGAGTTATCCTTTTCGCTACTTTTTTTTCTTTATTTGTTTATTAAATGTTAAAATGATTCATGATCTCAATCAAAACTTAATAATCTTCACAAACCCTACACTAGTAATCAACATTTGCTCACTAGTGATTAGCTTCGTGAGAGAATTCTCGGAGTTCTCGTGAGAAGCCGTGACCAGTGGAGCTAATCCATGTAGGGTAGAGACAGGTATCTACCTCAGTACGACAGAAGTTGGTCGCGCAATTTCGTGGATTGGTTGATGTTAGACACTATCACCATTGGATGCCGGCTCAGTGGTCCAGTAGGTTAAGCGTTCCCGCGCGAAACCGAAGGCCCTGGGTTCGAATCCCGCAAACGGGATCGTGGATGCGCACTGCTGAGGAGTCCCACGATGGATGAAACGGCCACCCAGTGCTTACAAGTTTCCAAAGGTGGTGGTCTAACATCAATCGGTTCATGATCTGAATCAAAAACTTAATCTCCACAAACCCCATACTAGTGATTCATAGTAGTTACCAGGTAATATCTATCATTATTGTTGTAGTGAATTAATGCATCCAAACTTTAACCGATACTTCATATTATCCGAATTTATTTGCTTCAATTCTATTCTGTTTCTATAATTGTTAATGTTAATATTATACACTAATCTTTATCAATTAACTTTGTCTCAAAGTCAACTGGATAAACGTGTACTTGATAAATAAGTTGAGATGTTAATAATATTGTTATAATGTAGCTTTTTATCATTTGTAATGAAAAGTGTTAAATTCATGGATGAAATATACTAATCTGTTGATAATGTACGATATGGTCAAGTGGATAACCTTTTATGAGACTGAACTATTGAAGTAAATTTTTAATTGAACTTGAGATCAGAGGAAAAGAAAGTTGTCCAGTTGAATAGGGTCTTTTTTTGTAACAAAATAAGAAGCTTATATACAAAATATTAACGGCCGTCCAGTGCTTCCAGGTTTTCCATGATGGTCTAGCTTCAAGTGACTCATGATTTCAATCAGTGAAACTTCTAAAAATTTCCACAAAACCCATTCTGATAATAATAATCACCTGCTCACTAGTGACTGACTTCAGGAGACATTCCTGGAGTTCTAGTGAGAAGTCGTTAGCAGTGGAGTTCAACCAGGTCTGTTGTGAGATAGGAACTCACTGAAGACAATGGTGCACGGTGGTGCAACTTCGTGGATTGGTTGAAGTTAGACACTAACACCGTTGGATGCCGGCTCAATGGTCTAATAGTTAAGTCCTCGCGCGCGAGTATGGCAGGTCCTGGGTTCGAATCCCGCGCGGTCGTGGGTGCTGGGGAGTCCCATACTAGGACGAGACGGCCGTCCAGTGCTTACAGGTTTTCCATGGTGGTCTAGTTTCAATTGACTCGTGATTTCAACCAGAAAATAAACGTTACAAGCGTAAATTTCAGGCTTTCCTATTATGTCAAATATGTAAAGTGTTATATAATGTACTTTGAAGTTAGTTTTGGTCTTAAAATTTGTTTCAGTTTCCGATTGATAAGTGATTATAATTGTTGTTGAATGGAATATCTTATTTATCTATAGACAGTAGGAGTATTTTGCTTCACAATCACATAGCAACAATGTATCTGAAATTGCCATAGTATAAATTGACCTACACGTTGTTTTTCCCCTTCGAAAAAAAATAGGAAGTTGAGAAGTTGTTGAACTCATACAATTCATTAAGCATCGAATTTAAAGCTGGAGTTTTTATTTTTGTCAAGGACTTGTGTTACTAATTTACTAGACTACCGAAGATCAAAATATGGATACTATTTTTCAAACGTAGAACCAAACAGCCATTTCATCCTTGTATATAACTCAGTAGTTGGCACCCACAACTCCAGTAGAGATCGGACCTAGAGCCTTCAAACCTTGTGGCGAACATTTAACTATCTAAACCATCAAGTTAGTGTCCAGTAGTACAATGTCAATTTCAATGGATTTTCGACATAACTCGATGATCATCCCAATACAATTGGTGATAACTTTTTCACCTCCAGCATTTCGAAACTCTACTAGTTGAGTGATTATTATTAGTTGAGATGGTTCTGTGGAGATTGAGGTAATTTGTAAGTTGCACTCACCACAGATTAACTCACAGGAGAAAGGGGTCGAGAGTGCACGCTACTAAGAACCGCATACTAGAATGGAATAGCTATCAAATATTCCCTGGTATTCAATGTTATCTAAAATTATACCACACTCTATATAACCCTTTCGACTAAAGTATAACCAGTTGAAATTCTTGTCAGTAAGTTCATTCAACTTAGAGTTCGACATGAATGTATGCTGACACAAGTTGCCATTACTCAATTAGCGCAAGGAAATGCAATTAACAATATGAATTGCAAAAGTGATCGAAATAATGTAATAGCAATCATAACGATAATTAATGAATATTGAAGGTACGGTTCGAAAAGATAAAGTGGAAATATATCTTTGACGATATACTAGAACTGAAAATTCAAAGAAAAATACTAAGTAAATATAATTGTGTCATTGTGAACGATTCAGAGTAATGTCACTCAACGTCTGCGACTACAATTCTTGCACAAACCACAACCATTTGGTCTGGATCTGCCAACAGTGCTCTGTCCAACATTCAATAAACTTATGGACTAATACCATATCTTTGTTTGACTGTCACTAACGTTCTTCCAACTTACTCCTATGTTAGACAATATTGCCCATCGAAGTGAGCGTTGATTAGACATATGTAACAAATGTTCTGACCACCTTAGTCGATGAAAGTTGACAAGATCATTAACTGATTTTGTCATTTTCACCTAACCTCAACAACATTGCCCACTTTTTCATCCTACAACATTCGAGGAATCCTTTGATAATACTTATAATTCAAATACTGTAGCTGACATTTCTCTTTTTCTCTTATAGTTCAAGTTTCACAGCTTTAATGTACAATGAACTGCTGTGCAATATACACGTCCTTTAAATTAATCATTAAATTACTGTAGTCTGTGTATACACATGCACAGAAGTTCCCTTTTTTACTTTATGATTAGTTATCTTTATATATTAAAAATAATTAATTTAGATTCAAATATGTAATTATCTTTTATTGTACTTTTGATTTTACACTCTATAAAGTGAAATCAAAACAATTCTCAATGAAAGAATAAGAGTTTTGCTTGTAGGTCGTTAAAATAAACTATTATTATTATTCTCCATTTCAATTCGCGACTGCGTACTTAAATTTCTAGGGCACTTACATTTCATAAATTCTTACGAATATATGTATTTCTACAGTTCGAATTAAGGATTCGATCTAAACTAGACCACCTTTGAAAACCTGGAAACACAGGGCGGCCGTTCCGTCCTAGTATGGGACTCGTCAACAGTTCCCATCCAGGATTTCACTCTCTGAAGTTGAACACAGGACCTTCGATCTCGCATATGAACGCTTAACTTCTAGACCACTGAACCGACATCCAAAGATGTTAATGTCTGACTTCAATTAATCCATGGTCTTGTACAAATCTGAAGTAAATAATTGAATTAAATCATCATTATTAATGTAATTATAATTTTCTGTAGTATTTGTGTGTACAATATTTCCACAAGTTTTAAATACTTATTTAATGTATCTATGCATTTAATTGGTTCTTTGATCCCAATTTACTAAATTATACTTTTCTATTTATCATTTTTTCTTACAGAGTCGTCCCAAACATCAAAAATAACACTGAACTCACTGCACAAAACAGGCTAAATTTTCTTTACTCTATACAAGTGTACATGCTTTGTTTTTTGTATATTTGTTTCATTTTTCTTCAAATAAAAAAGAAACTATAAGATATTTTGACTCGTGTTGTTTTTTGTCGTTGCTGTTCTGTTCGAATGAGATGGAAAACTTAGTTTTGTAATTGTATGAGCCTACTGCTAGTTAGTTATCTATGGACGCTAAGGTCACCGGCCATATTATATATATATATATATATATATATATATATATACCACAGTGATCAGTCAATTGTGATTACATCTCAGTCCTACAGGAGGTCGGTCGCGGCTCGGATAGCCCAGTGGTAACGTCTCTGACTGTGAAGCTGGGTGACACGGAATCGAATCCATCAGGGAGCACCAGTTCCCTCAAGATTACAGGTACACCTTGTAGACGAGTGCCAAGTAGCACGAAACCCGGTGTTATAACTCTCTTTCTTCTTACGGTTAGTGACCCAGCTATTCCTATTGCTTAGTATTCTCGGACACCGATTCACTCGACAAGTCCCCAAATCAGAACACGGTTGAACAGGGAAAAGATTATATTCCAAATAGCAAATCAGAAGCCAGTAGGAAGCACAATAGGGGAAAACGTCGGTATATTTATAGTTTTTACATAAGAAGATTCCAGAGTATTCTCCGACTATCGACTAGTGCCGATTGGATAAGAATCAGCCAATCAGCGTGCACCAAAACAATCATGCATTGAGCGTGCTTTAATCTAGTCTATGTCCCGCTAACACCTCCCCTCTGAGCAGATTCGTAGGATCTGGTGCTAGGGTCCAACTGCAAGTGAGTGACTGGCTTGTGCTTTCGATTAGTCCATCGTCTAGGCAATGAAGAATTATCACTTTTTCCTTGCACAGAGACTGACATGTCTGTTCCCGGCGTTTTGATTTTTAAAAAAAAAAGTATGCATAACTTTTAATTCTCCAACATTCTCCTCCTCCGCGAAACAATGTCGGATCCTTATATCTCCAAGTTACAAATAATAGGACTTTATTTAAACGACGTTTCTCGCATTGAATGTCGGATCCACTAGAAACGACTAGATGATAATGAACGACCTTTGATTTGAGGTCAAAGTTTAATTCTTCTGAAGCATTACTTTCAAATCCATTAAGAATTTCATCAGTGGATAATGGATCATTACGGAAATCAACATCTAACAAAATTAAATTAGACTTTTGACCATAATTTGACTCAGCTGATATATTTTCCTGATTTTTATGAGAAATTTCATCAAAATAACATGCATTGTTCTGAGAACCCATGTCTGATACATTGTCATTAGAAATCGGATAAGCTGATTCAATATAAGTTTCTGTCTCACAATGATTTTGAGTAACATTCGGTATAATTGGGTTCGTTGTGTCACTGCAGTTATTTTCTGAATACGAGTCCCCATAGCTTTCTTGGCTAATATCACGTGGACCATAAATTTGTTCTAGCTGAAAGTTATTTTCAGAGCTAGACAGGACCAGTAGTGCTTCATTCAATTCTGGACTCCGGGCTTCATCTACAGGGTCTGGCTCTTGATAATCTCGTATTGCCACAACTTTATGTGCATTCAGCACAGTATTTTCTTGCTGTGAGCCGGAAACCTTACAAATATTACGTTCTGATTCAGGTATAAAGGGATTTGAACCCTCCACTAGATATGCTTCTGAAATGTCTGTTACTGCATCATAAACAGATTTCTTATTTTCTGGTCGAGTGAAAAGTGTGCTCAATAGTTGTTGTTGCAAGGCTAACAACTTCTGCTGGTGCTGTAATATTAACCGCAACTGTTCTAAAGAAATCGCCATTTTTCTTTAGTTTTTCCCCGTCGCCACTGTTATAACCTCTCTTTCTTCTTACGGTTAATGACCCAGCTATTCCTATTGCTTAGTATTCTCGGACACCGATTCACTCGACAAGTCCCCAAATCAGAACACGGTTGAACAGGGAAAAGATTATATTCCAAATAGCAAATCAGAAGCCAGTAGGAAGCACAATAGGGGAAAACGTCGGTATATTTATAGTTTTTACATAAGAAGATTCCAGAGTATTCTCCGACTATCGACTAGTGCTGATTGGATAAGAATCAGCCAATCAGCGTGCACCAAAACAATCATGCATTGAGCATGCTTTAATCTAGTCTATGTCCTGCTAACACCCGGGTCCAAGGTTTCCTATTGACCACCTCCAACCACCATCTGATGTCTAGCACTTCCAGATTTTTAATGGTAATCTTACTTAGACCAATTCGTGATCTCAATTCGAAATTCTCTACATCCCTCATACTGATAATGAGAGTGATCAATCATGGTATTACAGATACATCTTTCTTCCAAAAATACAAAATCGTTTACTTCTTTACACAATGTCGGCTGATGTGACAACCTTCATTTTTGCCAACCCAGTAGCCTTTGGTACAGAATAAAAAGGAATACAAATTTTCATGCTTCAGGTATATTTGTGGAACAATCAATAAATCAATATAATGAATGCATCTCATAAATTTCGGAGTAAAACTTTGTTATTGTGTAGAATAGCAAAAACTACAATGTTCACGTTATGGAAGATGTGTTGATAAATATTTACTGATGATAATAATAGTGATCTTATCATAAGCCAGTCATCACCGTCATACCTTTTATGGATGAAAGCGTTAACGTTTCCAAAGAAACTTTATTTGAAAGTTTCAAGAAAATTACTAAAATCCATTTTATTTGAATAAACAATCAGTAAACAGTTAAATATGAACACCGACGCAAATCAATGCTCTTATGGTCCATGAAATAAATTTTCATATTATAGAAAACGTTTTCTTTTCTGACTTGAAAATCCATTGATCTCAAGCCAGTAATTATTTCCTATACTAAGTAACAGCTAATAACGGACGTCGCTGTACAATGTATGTAAGTTCATTTGAAAGCCAAAATTATTACGTGGTTGAAGTCAAAAGATGTGAAGCTTTTACCTATGTCTCTGTTTAGCTGATATGCTTTATCAAGGTATTTCTGAAGTATTGAAATCGATTATGTTCTTGATAGAAACTGAAATTTATCCTGGTACAATCAAAGATGTTGATTTTCGGCTAATCGGTAGATTTCTTACTAATATACAATGCACATTATTAGAACGTGATTAGTAATTAAACAAGAATCAAAGGAAAATACTGAGAAACTTGGGAAACAATCATTAAGATACTATTCTATACTTAACATAGTAAAAATAATTCATAAGTTTACTGTTCCTATGTAAGATCTTCAAACCTCTTACTATTTAAGTGCATTTTAAAGTTGTACGTAAATAAACGTTTGTTTATTGATGTCAATAACATTTAGTGATCTATCCAATATTTACTACTGGTGTGGCGTATGCTACTTATGTTGACGTAAGTAGTATATAACACCTATCAGAAGTAGAAGACCTGGTAGTAGAAGTTCGAGAAAATCGAAGAGAAGAGAATAGGAATAGACAATAATTGTTATGGTAATGAAGGAACGGTGAAATTTGAGATTTTCGATAGAGAATTTGTAAATGAAGTATTGAACATATGATTTTTACATTTGGTGAAAGAACTCTGTAATTTTGTATTAAATTATAATTGGTTGGCTCTATCTGAGTTCTTGTTAGTTCCCGATAAACATAATGAATGGTAACTTTGGGATCACAAGTTATAACAGTTCTCGTTCACTATACTGGCCCTGGTAACTTGAATTTTACGGGTAAAATTTTTCGCATAAACGCTTTGAAGTTTTTAGCATTAATTTCCAGTTATAGATTACCTTTTCAATTATTTCTTACTTACTTACGCCTGTTACTCCCAATGGAGCATAGGCCACCGACCAGCATTCTCCAACCCACTCTGTCCTGTGCCTTGTTTTCTAATTTCATCCAATTCTTGTTCATTCTTCTCATGTCTATCTCCATTTCTCGTCGTAATGTGTTATTTGGTCTTCCTCTCCTCCTTTGGCCTTGAGGATCCCATGTGGGGGCGTGTCTTGTGACGCAGTTTGGTGCTTTCCTCAATATGTGTCCTATCCACTTCCAGCACTTCTTCCTGATTTCTTCGTCTGCTTTGTTCTCTCTCACAGTAGTTGTTGCTAATAGTGTCCGGCCAACGGATCCGAAGTATTTTGTGTAGACAACTGTAAATAAACCCCTGTATCTTGTGGATGATGGCTTTCGTAGTTCTCCAGGTTTCCGCCTGGAGTCCCTCCGGGGGCTACTGCCGATCTCAAGTCCGGATAAAGGAGGAGGGTCGGGCATGGGGTTAGCGACCCCATCCCGTAGAAAACTAACCCTCTAGAAAAACGCTAACCAAAAAATAATTATTTCTAGAGAAATCTATTCCTTATCAAAATGACCTTTATACTGTTTTGTTTTTTGTACTTAAACAGAACTAGAAAATTATTTCATTTCAATTAAAATAATGTGGTAGTTATTTTTTTTAGTTTTGATAATTAATGTACTATTTCACACATTGATCACTCTAAAACACAGTCTTTGTTGAAAGTATGTTGTCTAAATAAATCTTTATTCTGAAAATAAACAATAAGATCAGTGTTATTGTTACTATTTCTTGTGGTCCGATTGTTTTTGTTCATCGTTCAATCAATGTTCACTTTAAGGATAACTACAGTTGTACCATATTGCAATGTGTGACCTTGTGTCTAAGTTACTAGATATTGTCGTGTACTATGTAAGTCCATGAAATAAATGACTGTTAATCTGAGTTATGTTTTGCTAGATTTAGACTACTATCAGATTGGTGTTAGTGCAATAACCGCTAGTCAACGGTTAGAGATTTCGATTAACATTGTTCAGAATCGGTCAAAGTGATCAAGATGAATTCACTTTTTATCTTTCCTAGATCTTGAGTCTCAGTATTTTTTTTCATGTCTACCATTTCATTGTGTTTAACTTAATATGTTTGCTACTATATTATTTGAACTTCTTACTTTTCATTTCGTTAATTACATAGAATCTTGTTAAATTAATCTAGCAACTTTGTCCAACTCATATTTGTGTCAAGCTCTATGTCGTTTATGATTGAATGACTGGAATTAAACTCATATTGGTTGTAAACGA